GAAAAAAAGCATGAAACCAAATCTTCTTAAAAAAAGTAAAACCCCAACAATACTTTTCCTTATCATCATTGAATGTACTTACGTATACCATCACAGTTTACCCTTCCAATTCTTGTTCTTAGATCACCTACTCTGAGAGTGTCATCAAGGCTCAAGCACTTCTTTAGTGGTCAGGTTATTAGCTTTTTGAATATGCGAACCTTTACAGGCTTGATATCTACTTACACTGCAGTACAAAGTTTGAGGGCATATATGGTCTTGAAAGCACTATAGTATTGAGCATCACATTAGTTCTCAGTTATCTTCAAGTTAACCATGGAATTATGTAAATCATTCAAGCATAAATTTTGGATCTGTCGAAGTTTGCATACAATGTAGGGCTGTGACCCGGACCTGTGAGCTCAGGGTCGATCACGGGGCTTTGACCGGCCATGGGCGGACCTGAGGAAGTTCAAAAAACACACGGGGCAAAACAGGGCACGCCGTAAAAGCCCTGGCCGTGTGGTCAGGCAGGGCCAGGCTCAAGAGTAGGGGCAAACAAGAGATGGAAAGGGAATATATTGGCTTGAAATTCTTGTTCATATGTATATAGAGGATATAAGATTGTATGAACTTGTAAAGTAAACCAAACATGAGAGAAAACATAGAAAAAACTACTATGGAGGCTACAAGAGTTTACTTAAAAGGTAAAAATAATTACTTAGAAGGGAAAACCAGCTATGAAAGTCTTGGAAAAGAAAAAGTTTGAGAACATTATATAAATTTAAACTGATGATGAGTTACTTGAAGAAGAAAAGAAGTTATTTTGCAAAAACCTTCTTCCAGCTCTTGAGACACACTTGTGCCTCATGATTGAGATTAGTGGAAGAAATTTTATGGTCACTCATGACTTGCAGAGTATTAGAAAAAGAACTCTCAGATGGAGTACTGGTGGTAGGCACTTCAAGGCTTGCCATTTCCATCTGTCCAAGGTTGGGCCAGTGAGGTTGATGTAATTACCAGTTTTCAAGGGGATTGTATATCTCATCTTCTTGAGGGGCCATCAAATATTTAGTGTTCTTGTGTTCAATTGGAATGGTCTTGTGGGACTAGGAGTCGGTACGTGTATTGACAAATGGGAATGGGACGGGAAAGGGTTTTGGATAATGCAATAGCCGGGTCACAGCAACTCCATCCAATCCTTTCAGACAAGACTCATCTTATACTCATCTCATAAGTAATCAGATATGATGTCATGACGAATTGGATGGATAGGATGAATTATCAATTCCCTATTTTCCCAATCTATATTATAAAAATCTTATAAAATATTAATTTACAAATTCATTCATCACTATTCATTATCCTGAAATCTTTCCACCCTTTGAGAATTTATCAGCAATAACATTTTTTCTTTCCTCCCACCCGCCCAAACTATTTAGTCTACAATCAAAGAAAATAACTAAATGAAAAAATAATCTTTAACAAACAGCAGAATTAGTCTTCAAGCAATTTTTATTTTCAAGCTACAGTTCTATCATACTTTTAAAAATAATTTTCGTTTCCTTTAATACGTGTAAAAAAAGAAGAAGTGGTGTTTCTTTTTTCGTTATTATGTATGGTTTGTTTCATCTAACTCTTTATAAAATCATGTACCGATGAGGAGGTGCGTGGAACGCACGTACCACCCACAGAACTCCTCTTTTATCAGTTTGTATCAGTACCTTTGTTAGATGACCTGCTTGTTAGAACCGTGCTAATCAAGCTCATCTCAAGAGCCGTTTAGCGTGAACCTGATACATGAAGTATCCAAACCTAAGTCCCATTCCTTAAAGAAGTGTTGAGGTTGAGTGTCATTGATGACTTCCTCTGATTTAACAATCTTGATCTTGGGGTCAGGAACAACTTTGAACTTGCTGGCTTGTTCATAATTAAAGTATGTGATCAAGTGCTTGGTTACCCGGTCCCAACTAAGTAATCCAAGAGTTTAGCCTTTGACAGTTGTAAGTTTAGACAAGGATTGAGGATTGGGGAACATACATAGACTGTCTTCTTCTGTGCAGCCTCACAATATTGGATGATCTTCTTGATCATGGGCATGATAGCAAGTTGCAACCTTCAAATCCTTGTATTGAGAGTTAGCCCAAGCCTATAACAAAAACATGGAATGAATCAACAAGGGATTGATGGAAAGAATAAACTGAATATTTGTGGTACACAAACATGAACACCCAACCTAAAAACCCATGGACAAAGCCCCCAAAACAATGGGGTTGTCATGGGTTTTGAGCATGGGTTTTCAGGTTGGGTGTTCACGTTTGTGTACTGCTATCTATTGAATCAAAAAATCAACAAGAAACAAATAACTTATGTTTTCAAGGTGTTCTGCTAGCCATTGATAATCTGGCATGGCACAAAAGAACATCAAGTATAGGTGACCTTTATCCTGATACAACTCTAAGCTCCACAAATTTATCAAGAGAGCTCAGGGTTTAAGACCAACAAGTTGATACCTCATGAACCAAGCCAACTGTCCATTTCAACTTGGCACAGCTTGCCACAGTGTTGTCAAAGGTCATCTTGACCTGGCTACTATGCTTGAAATGCTTGTGGTAGCCACAGATTTGAGTGAGGATACTGGTGATTCCAGCATGAGGGACAGGCTTGACAAACAAAGGGCCCTGAGATTTGTCTTGGGAGTCTGTGCATTGATAAGTGATTGACTAGGGGAATTGGCAATATTACAACATTCTCACAAAAGTTGTGTGTCAATTTTAAAGCCTTGTTTATCCACTGATAAGCTTGTATAATAAAGATAACACAGCATCTGTCTGGGCCAGGGCTACCAGGACACCTGAGGGACTTTTGTTGGTCTCACTAGGTGAGGTTAAATGACCCAGGGTCAGCCTTGCCAGCTTTGGACAGATGCTGAGGCTGATGCGTCCGGTCAGGGTCACTGCAAACATTATTCACAAGTGGGCAGGAAAACATGATTGGGAGTATGATTTGCCATAAAATGATCTATCACTCCACATGTGAGCCATAACACCCACACTACATATGTGTAGGAGGCTCAGTGAATAGGTGGTTGGATAAGTTATTCATATGTAATACATGCTGTAACTGTTTTCAGGTTGATAAAATCTTTTAAAAGATTGAGTACATACACTGACTCAACGATTTGGTGTAATCTCATCAACTCAACTGCATGTAACACCCTTTCTGTTACTAACAAATAGCTTCAACACTATTGCCTGAAGAGCTACAGAATTATATCTAGTGAATTTTTGGGAAAATTTTTTCCAAGTCAAAAAAGTGACATGTGGTATAACATGTGATTTATTCATTCTGATGGGCCAAAAACTGAGCAGACCTGTATGTACAAGATAGAAAACTATTTACTCATCTTGCTGCACATATGTAGTGTGGGTGGTAAGGCTCAGGTGTGCAGTATTGGATCTTTTTATGACAAACTGTACTATTAGTCATTTTCCTCTTCTAACTTGGGGAAGTTGAATGATGTTCACAGTGGGTCAGGCCTGGGGTTCATAGTTGGGCCATAGTGTATGTTATGTAGCAGATACTTTCAACTTGATGTTAATATTATCAAGCCCAACAAAAAAACTCTCCTGAATCCATTTCAAGATTGATTTCCTAATCTTGGTCTTAAGATTCCTCAATTCTTCTTACATCCATTGGATTCTTGCAAAGCTTGTCTCCCCCAGTACCCAGTTTAGATTCTATAACCCCATTTTTTACAGGACAAAAACTTATAGGTAAAATCCTCAGATCTTCTGGTCATCACAAATATGTACCCATAGTCTGTTGGAAATGTTCAGACCCCTCAATTCTTTGATTTCCAATTGTTAGGGGGGGCAAGCTTCAACAGAATGGATGTATGATATCAAAGAGTTCTTCTTAACCCCCGCTAAAAATGTGTTCCTTTGTTTCAATGAACACTTTTCAACCTCCATTTCATTGACCTTGTAGGTGTTATTTGACTGAAATCATTCTCTGAAACTAATTGAGTTTGGGTTTTTTGCTTACTCTATGTTACTTTGAATGATCATGTACCTCTCTTTTACTTACCTGCATGCTTATCCTTGACCTGAATCATAATCTTATGGTGATCTTTATATGAAAATGTCTTATCTTATTGTATTCCATACATTTTTGTGGTATATATGCATTGCCCTTGGAGCATCTCCAACATCATCAAGCTTGATTTACTGTGTCACTAAGCCAGAAACAGGACTGATCCTCAATTGAATCCATCTGAAATTACTAAAAGACACATTTATGTACTTGTCCCAAGAGAACTTTTCTTGCTAGCTTGAAACATCATCACAGTAAAGTTCAAAGAGCACTCATGACCTATAAGGTACCTCAGATCTTCCTTCTTTCCAGTTTTTATTTCATCACCAATGATTAATTAAACATGAGCCTTGTCAAGTTCAAGTGAATTTACTCCTACATTCATCATATCTCATTGCCCTGGTAATTTTAATCTCTCAGCAAGTAAATAGGTCACAAACTTGAAAAACTGATCAACAAGTTTACTCTAAACTTCAATCAGGGTGTTCCACAAACTAAGATTTTGCTGAAAATGACATCACTCCTGCAAATGGCTGTACTGTGCCAACACTTTGCACAATAGACTGTGACTGATTCTCTCATCATACCACCAACCACATACAAGAGCAGAGCACATCTACAAAGTTCAACCACAAGGATCAAAACTTACTTCAATCTTGCATCTCTGTGACACAAAATCATAAATCAAAAGTAAATTGGTCCATGGGTTGACTTCTATAATACCTCAAATTTTATAAAAATCCCTTCAAATCAATAAAGCAAAGCACTAAACCTACAAGATCTCTCAAACATCCTCCACACCGTACTCCTTTCTTAACCAAACAAAACACATAACATGACAAATAGAACATAAAAAAAGAAAAGAAAAGAATTTCTCATGGGAAGAAATGCTATGGATCATCTTCATCCTACAATTGATCTTCAACTTAATCATTTTTCTTACTCGATCCACTTACACTTGCTAGTTGTTGTGGTAAGCCTTCTGCACCAATCGAAAATAATAAAGCGATTGCCATTGAGAATGCAATGATTAATCCAATGACTGATCCACTTATCAAGACAAATTCGCTATTTTTTGGGCAAAACCCCACGCAAAAAGGCTCAAGATCAATAATTTCCTTTGTGTGATGCGATGAATCGAAAATGACAAACCTAGAGAGATCTTGTTTTTGACACATCTCACCACTCCAACCAACAACTTTTCCATCTTTCTTCTCTTTCTTACACTCACAAACAAAACAATTGCCACCCGAAGTTCTTTGTCCCATCACACAAGCTCCATGCCCATTACAAGTCTTGGTGTTTTCTTCACATTCAGTTACGTTTGAATAACAAGCTCTAGTAGAAGAAACGATCTTAGGTGAAGTACCTGCAAAGATTTCACTACGTCTATCTAATAATGATCTACTAACAAAACTACTTTCGCTAGTTTGAAATGGTGCAAGTAATGAAAGTGATGTTCGTTTTCCTAATCTAGTATGAGCGGGTTTAGGTGGGACAGCAATTAAGATCGTTTGTGATTCGGTAGGTGTTGAAAGGATTCCATCTAAGAATTTCTTTAGTGTGCTGATGGCTAATCTGTATTGAGGTGAATGTTGACCGTGTTGTCGAACGATCTGTTCCAGGCCTGATAATCTGAAAAGGGTGAGTGGAGGTGGAAGGCTAGATGGGGAAGCGATCGATTCTTGATATGCATCAAGCATTTCGAGGTCTTGGATGAATTGTTTTGCGCTCTGTTGGGATTCGAAGAGAGAGCATGTCAGATACTCACAGATATGAGGAAAAGAGATAACGAGAAGAAAGCTGACCACATCCATTGCACCATACTCAGTTAACCATCTAGAATACTTAGCCTCAATGACCATCTCGATTTGACTAATTTCGTCAGTAATGTGAAAAGTCTCTTTACCCCACTCTAACCAATCATCAAAAGTTTTATCCCATTGTTTTGCCCAATCTTTTAAACCATCACCAGTAGCTCCAAATGAATTAAGAAAAGGTTTAAGACCATGTATTGAAGAAATCGGAATGCTTAATGATTCTACCATTCTACCAATATAAGTTGAAATAAGACCATCAAAGGAAAGTGATTCGGGTGGTGATGGTAAAACAAGATGTTGTGATGAACGAACAAATCGGTCAGTCACAAGATCTAAAATTATCAAATAAATAGAACATCAGAAACGTTCATATGGACTAGGATGAAAAAGGAACCATAAACTGACTTTGTCCATCACTACCATAGATAACGATTAATCTTTTACTCTTCCTTCCATCTCGATCCTGATCTTCAGGAATCTCATCATTCAAACTTCCAAAAACAAGTTGAGATTTACGTGTTTGAGGATGTAAACTAGGAGGTAAAGATTCGTATTGAGAGATTTGTAAATGATGAGAAAGGAATGCATTAAGTTCAGATGAAGTGATTGAAGTGACTGAAGATTGAGTTTCGATGTTTGAAGACGATGAAGAAGAAGAAGAAGAGGTAGGGTTCCTTAGATAAATGTTTGCTGATGGTTGAGATGCGTCGACTAGATAAGATGAAAGGATAGCCAAGCTTAGAAATATACCATGGTTTAACATTGCTGATGTTGAAGTTGAGTGTCGATATCGAAGTCGAAGTGGTTGAGAGTGGTTTTCAAGCTGAAATGTTTCATCGACCAGACTGCCCACCTCTGTATACCCATAGTCTAAGCCATAAGATACTTCTTAAAACTCTGATCAGTCTCACAGTTCACCGAGATCAGAATTCATCACATCATAGTGGAATAGAAAATTGGCCACACTTGTCTATAAATTCTCTCTGCATGAGTTCCTATCGTGAGACACACAAAATGCATAACTTCACTGAACCACACTCAGGCAGGACCCCGGTATGCTCCTATGAAGGGTACAGATCTAGAATTGTGACTTTTGAGCTCGCGCGGAGATACGACATATGGGATTAAACAGCGTTCTCTTGGATTTTACCGGTTTCTGCCTGAATTTCAGAGTCGCTAAGTCCAATACAGCTGATTGAAAAGACTAAACCTGTCTTAAAGCTATGGGTAAAGCCAGGGACAAGTTTCCGAGCAAGCTCAAAAGTCACATTTTTGGATCTGTACCCCTTATAAGAGCATGCCGGGGTCCTACTCAGGCCCTATCAGGGTGTGAATTTTCTGAAATCTGAAGAGGTGCCCATAGATCTGAGAGGACTTACTTCAAGAATCCTGGAACACCCAAGACATAAACAAAGATGAAAGAAACAAAGCAGGAAGAAAATGCTTGTAATATCCCGCCGCGAACTCGTTTGAGGCTGATTATATGATCAGATTCAGCGGCTTGCGCTCAGTGGGTTTTTGTCACACTCACCTATCGCTGTGATACCTCTTCCTACTCACCCTTTTGCCAGCCCCAAGTATTGACTGCCGGTTCATCAAAAAATGCTACATCCATGAGTTAAAGATTGAGCCGCTTCTCAGGGCCATGCCTAAGATTTTGATCAGAAGATGATATCGATGAAATACAAAGATGTTTACAAGATGCAAAACTGACACCAATTATGACTTCAAAGAACAACTGGGAGTATATATGTTGGAAGCATACGAAGAAACATTATAACTTCCACGTGATCATTGACAGTGATATTTAAACATAGCAATCCGGTGTATGCATAGGATCAAAGCGCGTTCGAAATCTTTGAACAACGGCTGGTCAACTCACTTGGAAACAATACATTTTTTAATTCAGAGGACTGATTGGAAAAGTTCTATAAACAAGCGGAAGTAGGAACTCACTTCACTGTTGCGGGCATGCCCGCCTGGTCTCTAGTATGTACACCAAAAATCCTAGGAGCAGAAAAAAAACTAAATCTCCTGTTGTATAAAAGATTTTACAAATTTATTGTACTCTATTTAGTGCCTTGTTATTCTCTTCTACGATAGTGTTGCTCGCTCACCTACCCAATCTAGTTTTCTCTGCCAAGGTCGGTACTCCCAAAGCCTGGGAAGTAGTACAGAATAAAAACTAAGCCTCTCAAAGTACATAATCAACATTCTCATGTTTCGTGAATGGCTTGAAGATCAATATATCACTTGCTGTCTTTGTATATATTTAAAGACCAATTTGTTTCCTTTTGTCTGTTTTCCAAGGGGGAAATCTAGACTTTGCCACTTCCCTAAAATGAAGACATTCACGGTCATGGTCTATTGATAATTAGTTGTCCAAGAAAATATAACACATCAAATTGGTCTCAGAGAATATAGAAAGATATCTTTCAATCTGAATATCTTGACGCCACTCTGAAAATGTACGAAGAAGGATTCCTTAGGGTGAAGTGGCCTTTAGGGTATGTAGTGGAAAGGCCGGGAGCAGCAACCATACCAATGCATCCAAAAGACTTGCACATAGTCCCCCCTCGAACCGCGGCGTCCCTCGAGCCTGTGAGAGACGTCCCCCTCCGCAGGCTGCAGGCTCCGGGGCACGTCTCTGCGGTTGGTGGGGCTTGTGTTAAGTGTAGTGCACTCATAAATTGAAGACATCAGGCTTCTTCACAAAGCGATACCTGGAAATTTTGATAAGAAGGCGATATATGTGCTTATTGCGCTACCAAAACACTGCCACACATTGAAGTTGATCTGAACAACCACTTGCATAAATGTTTGTGAATATATACTTGTCAATTTTTCAGCAGCTCGCGGCAGTGAATGAATCAATTCAGGTATGCATAGATATAAAGCAAGTTTGGAATTGTCGCACAGCGCTGACCAACTTATACTGAAGAAGAGTTATTAAGGTACGTACATCCCCGTATAATATTTACAGCTCACGTTGCGTGTCTTGTGCTGGCAACCCACTCAAAAGTGTGACCTTTTTTCTCTGTTTGAAGATTACGTTAACCTAATCCCCAACGCAGCTCATCATATTCTGCCCAATGCGCCAGCGCGACGAGCGGAGAATTTCGCAAACATGCTCGAAAGAGTGATTGGCCGTCTGACTGGTACTGCGTCTTGGGTGAACAAGTTTTGACAGGAGGCAGGTCGCAATGCTCTCCACAACTTGCGCGACGAGTAGAGATATGTCGCAAACACGCTCGAGAGGGAAATTGAACCGTTTGACTGTGACGGAGCCTTTGCTCAACACGTTTTAACAGGGGCATTGAGAGAGACAAAAAGCTATCAAATCTCGAAAGGGTCAAATCAACCGAGATTGATTGTGAGCTTCCTCCAGAAACCCAAAATTGAAGTCTACTCTACCATTAGCTCTTCGCGCCTAAATTGGAAGCAAAAGATGAAAACAAACTCTTCTAGTATATCTCTGATATCATTCTTGATCTCAATCCTTGTGTCGTCGCTCTTGTCTCTTCATTGCGAGAATGATCTGCATCTCTTGGCGGATATGGTCTATTCTGAACTCCCCAAAGGGCCTGAGCACCTACACACAGGAGAAGGTTCTGGCATGTCTGCAGTAGCCACACAGACCTCAATTCTACAAAAAGGGCTTCATACCACTAAGGTCTTGGGGTTAGAACGCCTTCGAGAGATGGCAAACTTCACTCCAGAACATATATCTTTAGTACCCACTCCAACTCTACAAAAAGGACTTCATCCCACCAAGGTTTTAGGGTTAGAACGCCTTCGTGAGTTGAAAAACTTAACTCCAGAAAGTGTAGGAGCTCGAAGTTGGAAGGTTTACTATCGGGTCGCTCCCAGAGCATCTTCGGCACCTGGACAGATCCCCGAGATCAAGAATCTGGCACAGGCGGTCATGGAATTAGGGAAAGATTTCACTTCAACGATTTACACTGATGACGGGATAGCAGAATACATAGTGCCATATATGACTCTTGCTTATAATACTCTGCAGCTAGATTCATTGGGAATGAGGGAAAGGATCTGGGCCGTGGGAGTTCTGGCGTGCCTCAAATGGTCCATTCCAGCGCAACAAAGCATCATGAAGTCCGAAGTCTTCAAACGCACATTTCCTCCCTTTGGTTTTCGAGGGAATTTGGAAGTTTTCCTTTTGAAAGGTCAGGCTTTCAGTATTCAAGTTTGTCTTGAAAACTCCACTGATATCAAACTCAATCGTCAGACCAGCCTCTGAGAAAGATAGTGAAGCAAATGTGGGAAGGTATCGAGGAGAACCCATCAGACCATGGTGAGTAATGAGACTTGTAACATAAGGGATGGTATCTGACAACTTTGCTTCCTAATTAGCCGTTATCAAGGAAGCACTCCAAAGATCATCACTAGCAGATTCGTTGATGACCCAGTTGCCAAAGAATCTGGAACTATTTAAAGAATTTCGATGGATCCTAAAATTTTTTCTCAACTTGAAAAATCCAATTGAGTTCCGCAATGCTGATTACTTTATAGAAGATATTGAACGTCGACTAGGTGACTTCGACTTCATCGATCCTTGGAAGAAGGTTGCTGGCTTTGATGAAGCAAAAGCCTTGATTCAACTCTTATTATATATGCATGAAAGGTACATCCGTAGCAGAGAGACGTTTCTACGATTAACCAAAGCTTGTAACCTTGGTAAAAGCGTCCTTGATTTTCACATTCAAGTTTATTTTGGCTACTACCCACAAAGGTACTCGACAAGGAAAATATACAAATTTATGATGGCAGAACGTGGCAGCAATTTTGAGGACTTGATGCCATTATTGAAAGTCTTGGCCCAGGAAGGCCTGTTGATTCCTATGTTATCTGAAATGTCACTCTTGCCGTAATCAAATAGGCTCCACCGCAAAATTTTACTCAAATATAAGTTTCACATATACATGCGATCCACAAATGATGATTTTTATACAAAACTTCTGAGAGAAATTCTAACAATGATCATTTCCAATCAATATCTAACCATCAGATACATTGTATCTTCCTGCCATCGGTCATTGATTCAAGTCCTTTGGCCCATTGTTTTACATCAAGCCTCGTCCGCCAATTAGTATCCGATTGAAGCAGTGGATATGTTTGTAATGACGCCAAAATACAAAAAAGGCTGGAAGGTATTCATTGAATTGTAAGGCTAGAAAAGATATTTTAGGGGAAGGTATACAAGGCTGATAAAAACACGCATGTACTTGGAAATATTACAAATCAAAAAGCTATCTGTTGATTAGGTTCAGGGAACCAATCAATGAAAAAACAGTTTGTATCTATTGGTTTTTTAAAAGGATAGTTTTTTTTGCCTTCATCAGTGTTTTGAAAGGCTTTGATTTGGTATGTGATACATGGCTTCATAGCCTTGCACACAGCTCACATATACTACTATAAGAGATAAGCAAAGATAAGCCTTTTATAGCAAGATGATAGATATCACATCTGTCAGGTGATATGCTGAAGAAGGGCCCTGGGAGTGAGCGCACCATCTAAAATGAGAGCTGGGTAGTAAGAAAAAGTATGGACTGAAGCAGAAGCACTTGTGTTCCCAGAGCCTGCAGAGGGTACACACCCTGTAGAAGTTATTCCATTTCCCTGAGTACAAAGGGGAAAATGATTAAGAGTGTAGTTTGTAATTGAGAGATCCATCACTGCACACCTGAGCCATTACACACACACTCACAGGGGCAAAAATTGATGCTCACAACTATGTGAGCGTTGAAATGTTCCTGTTTTGTTCCCATTTGTTTCTCATTTGTTTCCAATTTGTTTCCCATTTGTTTCCCATTTGTTTCCCATTTGTTTCCCTTTTCTTTCTGTTTGTCAGCTGATTACATGATCATCAGGAACTGAGCAGACAAACTAAGCCTTCCTCAGCATTTATTCCTGAGCAAAGAAGTCTGAGGAAGGGCTGATCCATCTGCTCAGCTGATCCTGAGCAGCATTCCCTGGTTCAGTAAGTTCCAAGGGATGCCACCAATGTATAGCTTAGGGGCTGAGCTGAACTGAGTATTCCCTTAGCTAAGTCTCTGAAGTATCCCCCAGATGGATCACAGAGCGCCAAGCTTGCCTCAAGCTTCATGGCTCCGGAATGAAGCCTGAGGCCCGTCTGCTCGTTCAACTGAGCTGCTCAGTTATTCCTCAGGGGCATCCCTGAGATCAGGAGGATCCGGAGGATTTCACTGCTCAGTTATTCCTCAGGGGCATCCCTGAGATCAGGAGGATCCAGAGGATTTCACTGCTCATTGGATGAGGGGCTGCTCAGTTATTCCTCAGGGGCATCCCTGAGATCAGGAGGATCCGGAGGATTTCACTGCTCATTGGATGAGGGCCTGCTCAGCTAGTCCTCAGGGACATTCCTGGCCGGATCAGAAGGATCCAAAGGATGTCACTGAGTATTGGCTGAGGGGCTGCTCAGTTGATCTCAGCCCCTCAGTGTGAAAAACTTTATCCGGGGATATCACTGAGGATTAGCTGAGCAATGAGCAGATGGGATGACGCTTTTATCAGGCTTCATTCCTTAGCAAGGAAGTCTGAGAAACGTCGGGCCCATCAGTGATCCAGTCAGGGGATGCTACTGAGTATTTGCTGAGCAGCTCAAATGGGACGCCCCTGGGCAGGCTTCTTCACTGAAAAATGAAGCCTCAGGAAGGTATAGTTCATGTGCTCATCTTCATTTTGAACAAATTGCTGAGTATTCAGTGCCTCATGAGCTGATCCTGAGTACTCATCGGGAATCAGTTATTGCTTATCCAAGATGGAAATGAGCCTTCTCAATAAATGTCAAGTAAAATATGAGAACCACAGGATGATCACCTGAACACAAACAAGATTGTGAATTGAATCAATCTGAAAGAAAATGAATCTTTTTTGGAGAATTCCAAAAAGTCTACAACGCTCACATGTATGTGAGTATCTATTTTGGCCCCTGTGACTACATATGTGCAGCAGGCTTAGCTAATAGTTGCCTATCCTGTACATACAGGTCTGCTAAGCTGTCTGCTCATCTGACTAAATAGCAGTACACAAACATCTCAACCCGACCTCAAAAACCCATCCAAAAAACCCATGGCGACCCAATTGATTTTGAGTTTTTAGCCCTAGAAAATTCAAAAATCAATTGGGTTGACATGGGTTTTATTAGGTTGGGTTGAGATGTTTGTGTACCACTAATAAATCACATGTGATACATGATGTAAATTTTTTGCCATTGACAAAATTATCCCAACAATCCACTACATATGTCCTCAAGGCAACATTCTTGTGGCCATTTTTCAGTAATAGAAAGGGTGTTACATGAAGTTTAGTTGACAAAATTTCACCCAAACTTTGAGTCAGTGTATGTAGTAATTTTTTTGAATGATTTTTTCAAGCTGAAAAAAAGTTACAGTATGTATTACACATGATTCACCCATCTAGATGAGGACATGACTGAGCAAGCCTGTATGTACATGGTAGCGACTTATTCACTCAGCCTGCTGCACATATGTAGTGTTGGTGTCATGGCTCAGGTGTACAGTGATAGATCCTTTGATGACAAATTATACTCCTGATCATTTTCCCCTTTCCACTTGGGGAAGTTGAATGACATTCACAGTGACAGATTTCCATTTCTCATGAGAAGTGGTATTTAAAAGCTACAGGTGCAGATAGGACAGTACTCTCTAGTGACAGTTACTGGTCACCTGTTGCAAGAGTACAGGTGGATGGGTGGTGGAGAGTCTGAGAGAGATGATCACTGTGAACATCATCCAACTTCCTCAAGTTAGAAGAGGAAAATGATTAATAGTACAGTTTGTCATAAAAGGATCCAATACTGGACACCTGAGCCATAACACCCGCACTACATATGTGCAGCAAGCTGAGGAAATAGTGGTCTATCATGTACACGTCCCTACACCTAGGATTCATAATCATTGGGTTGGCGATAGGGCTGTGGCCTGGGCCCAACCCTGACCAACCGGCTTTGCCCGACCACATCTCAATGGTCCACATGGCTGGGCCCGGGGCCAGGTGACTTAGCCTGGCAATGCTCTGAAAGGCCCTGCGGGCGTGTCGGGCGCCCGACCCGACTGGGTTGCCACTGCTTTTCTGGTGACTAAGCCCATCAAAAAACAATGTTCGAATGAAAAAACAGGTGACATACAACTTACCTGCCAGCTGATCATCACCCATTGCCCTTGCCAAGCCTCTGGGCTCAACTTCTGGCCCTGCCCTGAGTGAGCCGAGCTGTTTTTGGAAGCCATCGGGTCACATCAGGTCCGAGTCTGGTCGCGAGGCCGGCCCTGAGCTCGCAGGTCCGGGCCACAGCCCTAGTTGGCGACAGGCCCCAGCCCCGCCGCTGCAGAACTTGAATGATTACGTAAACCACTTGGAGGGGACTCTACATACAGGTCTGCTCAGTTTTTGACCCATCAGAAGAAATAAATCACATGTTATACCACATGTAACTTTTTTGACTTTGAAAAGATTGCCCCAAAAATTCACTACATATAAATCTCTAGCTGCTCAGGCAATATTGCTGAAGCTATTTCTTAGTAACAGAAAGGGTGTTACATGCAGTTGAGTTGTTGAGATTACACCAAAATGTTGAGTCAGTGTATGTAGTCAATCTTTTGAATGCTTTTGTCAATATAAAAAAAGTTACAGCATGTTTTACATATGGATAACCTATCCTGGTGAGCAGATAACTGAGCAGAATTGTATGTACATCATAACCACCTGTTCACTGAGCCTGCTACACATATGTAGTGTGGGTATTATGGCTCAGGTGCGGAGTGATAGATCATTTGATGACAAATCATACTCCCAATCATTCTTTCCTGCCCACTTGGGGAAGGTGAATAATGTTTGCAGTGGATCAAACTTTTTCTCTCCCCATTCCACCATACCTCCTCATTCCTACATAGCCCACACTGGGCATCCTAGGGATCTCATAAAGCTCACTCATTGTAGATCTCAAAAACTTTAAAATTGGGCCCACCACCCGAGTTGAGAAGTCTTTTCTTTGCAGGAGCTGTTCTGGTCCTAAGGCTAAGGAAGGTGATTGGTTACCATTGTGATCCTTTACCTCTGGGTTCACCCCCAAACCACAGCCTTGTTGGATGCTGGTCCCATATGTAGGGGTTCAGTGTTTACGTGCATGTGGTAGGCCAGCCCAAAGAAGTGTGACTCAAAGGCCATCTATCTAGCAATATTCTTTCTACACATAAACTAAAAATCCATTCTAGCACACCGTAATTTTTAACATACCAGAACACACCTTATGAGAAATGGATGAGGCTTGTTTGACCTGTAGAAATGTGATATATTGATGAGACAAGATACACACAAAATTGAGTTATCAAGCCTCATACCTTTTGAATCTTTGAGAAAACATTTACAATTGATGAGAACCTGTGAGCTGGTTTGAATTTTCTCAAACAAATCATTTACTTGCATCTTAAACCCCATCTTCATAGACTTCCAAGATATTTCTGTGATTCATGTAACATATCTATATGAAATGTTTATCAGAATGTGCTTGATCATAAATTATGAGTTCAAGGAAAATTTGCTTAAGCAAATTCTGGTCAAAGTGCAGATCCTGCTAGTACAGCCCTTTGCAGAATTGATGACTCTGGAAAAAGAGAAAACGCTTGAGTTTTCAAAAAAAAACCTGCGAGTTTTTTTCAAAAACTCATCAAGTTTTTCAAAAACTGAGCAAGCTCTTTCTCTTTTAGAATTAGTGAGCCAGGTTTCCAAAGAAAAACTCACTGACTTTTTGAAAAACTCAGCAGCTTTTTGACAAAACTCGAGGTTTTTTATTTGAAAACTCAAGGTTTTTTTTCTTCAAAGTCATCAATTATGCAAAGGGCTGTACAAATTTTCAAACCAAAACCAAAACAAGTTGATCAGAAGATCCATTTGAATTTGCCAGAAAGCAATCTTTGACTAGAATTGACTGAATCAAATGGGCCCTTCAAGCTCTTATGTTTTTTATTTGTGCTTTATCACCTCAGGCTAAGAAGTTACTATATATGGCAAATATCAAACTTTTTCTGACCATCAAAATCTCTTCAATACTTCAAACCTACATATCAACCCAAAGATACCCATACCAAAGTAAATCAATTCCAACCAAGTATCTATAAATAACAATCATGAAAAAAAATCAATTACAATTCTTCAAAAATGCAGGAGAAAATACAAAGACAAAGAAGTAAACGACTTTAGACAATTATTTCTATCTTTATTTTTCAAAAATCAACAATGAATACATCAAAATCTTTCATGCAAAAGAAGCATGCTCAAAGATCAAACCATCAATACAATTACAACCCAACTTTCAAATCTACAATCATACACCCAATCCTACACCAAAAAATAAACCTTTTACACCATCCAACATCACATTTTCTTCCTACTAAGAAACCCATTCTAAAGAAATCCAAATCTATGAAAAAACAAAAAAAAACCTATCTTACCCTTCAATTCATAAATAATCCATCACCTCTTTTCTTTACACCCAAAAGCTTCATTAAATTCTAAAAGGTTTCGAAGTTGATGATTTGGTAATGTAAAACCTAATTTACTAAACGAAATAAAAAACAACTCATTGGTCTTAAACTGATTTAATCCAATTAAACCTTGATGATGATGATGATGATGGGAAGGTTGATTTGAGATTTCTTTCCATTTTGAATAGCTTTTTGAAACCGATTCAAGCTTAAACTAAATCAATCAAAACAAACTTGAAAATCAGTCTTTAGACTTCTTTCAATCCGATTTTAAATCAAGTTAATGATACTTAACTGATTCGTCATCTTTTATTGACCTTGAACTTTCCATCATCATTTTTTGAGCTATTAAAACACCCAAAGAACCCTACACGAGCGCAACCCATCATGTTTTGATCTTCATCAAAGAAACTGACTTTTAAAAAAAAGAGAGACGAAAATGAAGAAGATTTCAAGAGAAAGATAAACTCACAAATGTTAAACCGATAGGAACTTCAGGTGATGGATAAACCATCGGAGTTTGTAAAAAACCAACAGGACAAAACACTTGTTTTTCATCCATTACACTACACAATCCAAATCCAAAATTCAAACATCCAAACATCAGTTCTCAAACTCAATCTCAATATGAATCTATTTAAAGAAATCATCCTCACATTTCAGGTTCTAACATATTCCAAACTTTTTGATATCTTTCAAACATCTTTTTAGTTTGAATTAAATAAAGTTGAATTAAATTTCCTACATGATTTCCATCTTGAACCACTTCAAGTTCTTCATGTTGTTGATCTTCAATCGAAGGAAACACAATCTTTTCAATTCCCCAAAAATCAAACAAACAAATATGAATCAAATCGATCTAATCAACAAAAGAAAAGGAAATAAAGAGAGATTCGATTTACATACTTCAATGGGGTTTTCTATTGACGAATTTAACATGACACTTAACACGAAATGAGTGGTTTCGATCTTTTTCATCAAGTCTTGTTGTCCATTTGATGAGATCGAAAGATAATGTTTAGAAAGGATCGGACCAAAGAACGATTGTAATTGCCAATCACAACTGACTTTCTGTTGAACCTATTGTAATCAGCATTAAAGAAGTAGGTCTTCATTCGTCATCTTTCTCCACTCTTGAAGATACTGAACTGATCAGAGAATGAAGAGCTTACCAGAGTAGAGATAGAGATCCAATGAAAGTAAGATTCGATAGTTTGGTCAGAATAAGAAGCCACTACACTAAAAGAAAATCCATATCCCAAAAGTAAATTCCAATCTCTTATCTCAACAAATCTATCAAATTCAAAAAAAAGTACCTTGATAAATGTCGAAAATAATCTAATCCGTCTACCAAAACTTCTAAAACAGGTTTCTTAAAACTTAAACTAGAATAATATTCTTTCCATCTGATCAAACAAGGAGCAGGTCTGTCACTACAAACTGTTGCTTGTAATTCATTTATTGAAATTAGCTTTGGTTTTGATTTTAGTTTTGGTTTGATTGAATTTAAATCTTGGTTTAATCTTTTAACGCCATTCAATCTTTTAGATCTTTCAGTTTTCGAATAAAGTTTATCAAAAGCTGATTCGATTCCCTTCAAATCAGAAACCACTGGTCTAATCAAAACTTTTTGATTATGAATTGAATTCATAAAAAAGATTGGAATCGAATGAGCATGTAAAAAACTAAGTAAAGAAGTGATTCTTAAAGTTCTTGATGTTTTTGAATGGGTTTGATTCCAAAGCAATGAGATTTGATTTAAGAATGGTAAAACCTCTTGATCTTTGTTTTGATCTTCTTTACATGTTGTATGAAATTGGTTTATTGCTCCTAGTGTTGGATCCCATGAGTTTTGAGTATTGAAAAGGTTTTGGATCGTTTGATTTACATTTGTTTTTATATTTTCGATGACTGAATTTCTAGTTTGACTCACTATTACAAGATTCATTCAAATCAAAATTAGACAACTGAGCTGAATTTGTTTCAAAAAAGATAAAGTGATTGAACACTCAACTTGTAAATTGATTAAAATCTTCGCAAGGCTTTGCATCCCAATCAATCCCTTTTCTTAATTCACCAGCCGCATCAATACAAGAATCACTAAAACAAATATCCTGTTGAACCGGCGAAAAAAAACACAAGTTAATCAATCTTTCAATCCAAATGTGTTGATGGACCATAATTTTTCATAAGACTTACTTTAGGATTCCAAGGAGGCGAATCAGTAGGATTTCCAAACGGAGCTGTTACAGTCTTAGTCACCACAATCGTATGAGTTTGATTCCTTTGACCTTCATTATCATGATGACGATGAGTTGATTTTTTAAATTCGTTTAATTTTGAAACTTCACCAGCAAACAAACCAAATCCAATCGAACCTAAACATAAACAAATCAAACTTAAAATAATCAAATTAGATTCGAATGGATTGATGTCTCTTTGAAAGATTCTTGAGATTTGTCCTTCTTCTTCGTCTGCTTCCTCTTCTTGATCTAGTTCTTCTTGATTTTGATTTGATAGTAATCTTGAGTTTTCTATATCTGATTCTCGGTCTTGATTCATGTTCTGTGGTGTGTTTGTTTGTGATGGTTTAGTTGATAGTGCAATGACGTCAAGAAACCCATACAAATTTCAATTTCAATTTGATCGAATACTCGAGCCAAGTACCCGAGGTACCCGAGCAATCTCAGATCGAGTAATGCGGCTCGAGTTACATCGCGTCGGCAACTCGCGCATGCATGCTGATCAGGAAGAAATTACATTCAAAACAAAACAAAAGATATCCCACTTCATATCCCTTCACATCATCAACTCACCTTAAAAACCATCCAATCTACGAAAAGAAGCATGCCAAAGTCAAGTCATCAAAGAATGTCAAAATCATCAAACTTAACTTCATTTTATTCAGTTTATAAAGGTTATCAAACCGGAATCTTTACTTCTTGGCCAGAAACTCAAAAATCCGTCAATGGTTATCCAAAAGCGATTTACAAGAAATTCAAAACCAAACAACAAGCCGAAGAGTTCCTAAAAACCGGTGATTATAACCTCGATGCTTCTGTTCCATCTACTTCAATCACTAGTACTCCGACTACTACGAATACCCCTAGTTCTGGGTCTAGTAGTAGTAATACTGGTGGAATCGTTTTTGCTTTAAATCATTCAAATCTGCCAAACTTCAATCATCAAGACCAAACCAAATCATTAAATAATTTCAATACTTTACGAGTTTATTGTGATGGAGCTTGTAGTAGTAATGGACAGAAGAACAAATTAACCCCTGCCGGTTCAGGTGTTTGGTGGGAACCTAATCAAGATTGTTCGGTCAAGATACCTAGGTAAAAAGCTTCATGTCGATCTGATTTAATTTAATTTTATCTATCAAAGACTCAGGTTCTTGGGTTTTGATTTAGTAATCTAGCTTGTCGTTTACCTGGTCCTCTTCAATCAAATAATCGAGCTGAATTATATGTAAGTCGATCTGTGAAATCATTTCAGTCATGAAAAAAAAGAAATCACTCAAATCAATTCACCTTGTTTTCCTTTCGATCAGGCTATTTATCTTGTACTAAAACATGATCCAGATCCAAATCTAAAACTCGAAATCTATACCGACTCACAATACTCAATCAACTGTCCGTCAAGCTTCCTATATCTTTTCCCAACTCCTCCAAAAGATTCTAACCCAAACTCTGATTTTTGGGATCTGTAAACAGGTTTAACAAAATGGTTATCGAATTGGATGTCAAACAACTGGAAAACCTCAGCAGGTAAACCAGTAGAAAACCAAGACTTGATTAATTCGATTCGATTATTGCTTTTCAAAAGAGATCAAATCCATCGGAATGGAGCTCAATTGATTTATGTCAAAGGTCATTCTGGTTTACTTGGGAATGATCAAGCTGATAAGTTGGCTAGATTAGGTGCTAGTAAAGAACCTATTCATGATTTGATTCTCGATTAAACTTTTTTCTTTTGGTCAAGGGGTGGGTTGAGAGGTGGTTGGGGATTGGGTGTGGATTGTTTGTATTGCTTAGTTTAGGAGATTTAAAGGTTTGGTCATCAAAAAAAGCAACGGATATGTGTGTGTTTGTATATTTTATTTTTACTTTTTACTTCATGTAAGTTGAAACTGTTGCAAAGGTTACTACGACCACCTTGGACTTGTAAGAGTAAGATGAATGAATGAAGGATCAAGTAAGGGTTTTCTTTAATTGTTCAAAGAAGTGGTTTATAACTCAAACTTGATACATAAAGTATCAAACCCGGGAAGGCAAAGTAATCATACGCCAAAGAGTATAAATATGATGTTTTAAGAGAATTCAGGGATTATGCTCAGTTATCCAAGTAGTGCAGATCAAGTTAATTTCTTGAGAATTGTGAACACCAAGCATAAGTATGTATCAGCCTAAAGCTACTTCAAGCCAGAATGGTCTGATGATCTATACAGTTTTTATTTAGTGTGCATGAATGTAATAGAATCACTCAAATTCCACCTGACCACTCACTGACACATATGGCTTTTACAGTCAAACCGGAAAAAGCTTGTCACAAATTCCCCGCCAATTTGCTCGAGTTTTGCGGGCAAAATCGGGCAAGTGTTTCCAATTTTTTTTTTTACTTTTTCTTTGTAACACCTATCTCCAGAGTTTTGCTGTGATACCACTCTTTTGGCCTTTTTATTTATTTATTATCTTATACTCCTATGGGAACCTGTGGGGCTGCCAATAAAGAATTCTCATAATTAATTTTGTAGAGGATTTGTTTCAGTAGTACATATAGAAGGAAGAGGAATTTAAAAGGCTTGATGAGATTTCCTTACAAAACAATGTATTGATTTTAATTTGACATCTTTTAATCCAGTCATCTATTCTAAATATTTTTTGTTAGACAGATCCCTCCTTGGTGTATCTAAGTAGCTTTTGTCTCTTTGAGATTATTGTTTTTGGACTTCTTTTGGGGGAAAGGTTTTGAGGGATAAGAAAGTTAGATACATTTTCTCGATTTGGCTTTTGCTTTACTTTTTGGGTGTTTTTTGTAATGTTTTGATTTTTGTTTCAACAAATGGAAGGTGGAATTCAATTATTTTTATTTTGATTGCAAAATTTAAGATATTATCCAAGGGATCTTATTTGAAATGATCAGTATTGTTTGAAGTTTCAGTTCATGAGATTGAATGCTTTGTCCGTTCGCCCATCCTTTGAGTTCCGCTCAATATGATCATGTTCCGAGCTTGGTAAAGCTAGCAATCATCTGTGATTTTTTGTGATGTCTGAGGTTGATCTGCGTATGGTGGGAAGAAGCGGTTTAGCAAAATGTAGGCTGTTTCACAGCACTAGTCTATTGAATGTGCAAAAGGATTGATTTCTGCCTTTGTAGTCAGGAAAACTTGAAGATTGAGGACCTCGGAGTGGCAAAAACAAAGAAACACCAGGACCTATACAAAATATATGAACATAACACTTGATACATTCAACTCACGAGTAAATTTACAACAAGACAGAAAAATGAGACAGCAACCAGGCAGCAGACCATTTTGACCATTTTTTACCATTCTGATGAGTAACATGAAAAGACCAAAATGTGTTTCAAAACTAGAGCGTGTAATGAGCCTGACCCGAAAGTTTGCATCCACAATGTACTGCTCGTTTGGAAATGAAAGTGACTGATTATCAAAATGCAAAAATCCCGGCGATTGCTGGAGCTCAAGCGCTAAAGAATTTTTTATAAAGTATCCTCGACAGGCTCTCTTCCACTCAACCACAAGTCCAGAGAGATGAAAATCCCGAGGTGTGTGGAAATGATCGGCTTCAAGTCTGAGTTGGCATCAAGCCCAGGACATCAATGCTGTAATTTAGAAGAGTAGACACTCTTCTCCAATCATTGTAATGTAAAGCGGTCCTTGGCTCGCCTGCTGCACGACTCTGGCAAGCTTGATAGCGGTGTCCAAAGTCTGAACACCAGTAACATTGGTGTTCTCCGTTATGTACATTCGGCGCCGCCCCTTCGGGGATTTGAATGGGTGTTTCATCCGTTGCGAGTCTCTCTTCAAGTGTGGTGATCGGAGGTCGCATCGTACGGGTTTTTTATTGATGTGGAGTATTGTGAATCTTGGTCTTAGGGTTGAGGGATGAAAAGAATGAGTAATTAAAATAAGACTCGTGTATCATCAAGGGAATGATATGTGGAGACTCTTGTTGACTAACCAAGTAATAAGGCTGAGATGGGATTTGAAGTGAAGTTGAAGATAAAATTGTCAAGAGGTTGATTTCTTAAGTCGAAGTATGACAAGGTTGAAATGCAGTCGAAAGGTGAGACCGAGTGGGAATTCTCTGGAGCAAGAACTTATCCTGCTTATATACTGAGAGATCTACGATGACCTAGTTTTTTGATGAAAAGGACAGCAGGGCAGCAAGGCTTGTATGACGCAACAGCTCAGAGGACATATGGACCAGCTCCAGTTTAATCTTGTGATACCCTATTTTCTGTTTAGTCCCTCTTTCCTTTTCCCGACGCTTGCGAAAGCATGATTTTCTTATTGGGTGCTGTTAAATAATGGATGGTAGTGTGATTGCTATTTTCGTCATCATCATTCATTCATATCATCACCATTAGCGTAATGTTCCGGTTTTGTCCATTGGTCAAAATCATCCGGAAACATAAATACCACCCTGAATAACCATTATATTTTCCAAATCCAAGATTCCCTCGGATTTGGAAGTCATTCACCCGAATTCTTCAAGGTACTCCGTCATTTCTGACTTTTCATTCCATTTCACCCCGATTGCCTTACAATTTACAAACACCAAATATCATCCAAATAGGATTTCACGGTAACGGATCTCAACGAGTCTTAGAGTTCTCTTCAGTATCATCATCTTAAAGACTTGTGCGATGATATATGGTTGCAAGCGCCATCGATGTGACAAACCTGTCAGGATCTCTCGGCGTGACCTGAACATGAGGATTACCACCTGGCGAGTATAAAGCAGGTATTCTGAGTTCACGGCGTGATGGCCGCGCGATTTCGCTGCCCGTATCCACCAAGACAGTACTGTGATCATGAGACTTTCAAGGCCACTCGCTGTGTGGATTTCACAATTGTTAGCGAGTCAAATCCAATCATCAGCCGATGAAGGTCTCGGGCTCAAAAGTCAAACACGCGAAGAAGAGAGAGAGAGGTTTATGAAATTCTTCAATCGACAACCGATATTGATCACGATTAACGATTCAAGAAGGAAAATTGAATGTAACTTCAAAGGTTTCGATCATCATTTGACGGCATCATCATTATCATTCATCATCTTATCAAAGAGTCTATATAAGATCAATCAAATCGAACTAAAGTGTTTCAAATCAATAAGTTTTAAACATCATCACTAGAAGAAGAATTCCGCACTAAGAAGTTAAAAGTCAAAAAAGTATATCAATGAAGGAAGAATCTCAAAACAAAAAACACATCCCGCTCATGGATCTTGATCAACCATCTTCTCACTTATCATATAAGAAGATATATATACCCAATTCCCTAAACCCAAAACACTCGATGACTAACTAAGATTCAAAATATCATACCAAAATGTGTTTTATAAAGTTCCTTCAACAGCTCTATTATCCTCAACAATATAATGATCATCAATACAAAACGATCTAGGTTTAAAAACCTGATTATTTTCAAACCGTCTCACTGTCTTCTTAACCCGATTGTTTTCCTCTTCATCATCTTTTGATAGATCTTTAGATTTCCTTGCACCATTTCTTACTTCTTTTGTTAATCCATTTGGAGCTAGGATTGGTGAAATGGATGATTCGTTGTTTTCTTTTCTTGGTATTGTAGTATGAGAAGAAGAAGTTGTAGAGGATGGTTCTTGTTGTGGGTGTTGTTGAGATGGTGATGTGTCAGAACCAGTTGGTTTAGGAACGGCTTCGAGTTGATCAGGTTGTTTCGACATCTTGGATTGATGCTGGGGACGCAAATGATTTGAAAGATTTCAGGGTTTGTTTGGGATATCGGGACATGATACGAGATTTCTTCAAAAGCAGATGAACGAATCGATGTCTTTGTTGTTTTGCTGCAAGCTGCACTTGCCTTTGACGTCGTGTTCGATCTCTTTAGTATTACAATTCCCATTACCTCTCTGGTCCACCTGGATCGTTCTCGCCTTTTGTAACTTCAAGTTTCTATTTAATCCCAATCTAGTTTGTCTTCCTATCCTGGTCAAACAAAAGCGCCTATCACATATCGCTATCCCGTCTTTGGTAAGCTAGTAATACAAAGAGCCTTTATGACAACTTTGAATTACTCCATATATCGGATCTCATCTTTGGATCTTTGCGACTTGAAGGTGGCCTTACGTTTTGTTCTGGCTTTCTATCACTGTCCCGCTCATCTCATACACAAAACTCCTTCTCTTTTCTTTCTCAAGCACACCGATTGCGATGATCTTATACCTCTTCATTTCCAACTCCTCACTCTACTGGGCCAAATCAGTCTTTGCGCGCGCCTCTGTCACCAATCTTGATCATCCGGATCAGACCTTATGAATTTGATCATCTTGATACTCCCGGTACTCTAATCGACCTCAATTGGTCTTGATTAAGTCTACTAGAAGTATGCAAGCTAATCTCAGGAATGTGGTATTTTGATCTACATTTCATTTCAGCTCTAGAAAATAACTTTGAAATCCTCACAAAAAAAGGTATGATCAGATGAAGATTTGGATAAACCAGTTTTCTCAAATATTGCTTATTTCCAATCGACCATCACTCTGGATCACACGTTTGAACTCAAACTACACATTTATAAATCCTGATCATTTCTGATTCAGTATAAAAGGAAGAATGAAATAAACAGCATAAAATAGCATATATATTAATACTATCATTTTCTATAGATCACCCATGTCTGATCACCCAATTCGATCAATGAACATGGCTATAAATCCCAGAAATAAGCGGAATTAGGCATGCACAGGACAGATGGCCGAGTGGTCTAAGGCGCCGTCTTAAGGAAGCAATCGGGCACCTGGCGTGATTTAATCCGGCGGTCTTCGGGCGTGGGTTCGAATCCCACTCTGTTCAAATACTTTTTGCTTTGCAAGACGGTGCTTTGAAAAAAAGAAGCTTGAAATGAGCCTTGAAGAAGGGAAAGGTCCAATGTAGTTGAACCTATGAAAGTCAGTTTCAGAAAGGTTGAAAAAAATCAAAAAACTGGCCTTGTGGTCTGTGCGCACAGTGGATGTAGACAGAATGTAGTTGCATTCTGACAGCCACATACCACCACAGCCCACCCATAGAGCTTTTTCTGTCTCAACAAACCCAATCAATCTTGCATTTTGCAACAAAAGCCTAAGTGCTGATGACACAATAAGGCCACCAATGGAGATTGATTGTTTATTCCAGGTGTACAAGCAGACACAGAAAGTATCACCAGGTCTGTTTTGGAGTGGCACATTGACATGTGCACACCAAAGTGTTTTCTTAGTAGCTTTTTTGAGTCATTGAAGACATCAGAAATCCTCCAGGCTCCATCCCCTGTATTTTGCACTGTACTACCCTTTGTTGACCAACAAAGACACCCAACCTGTTCTGCCTTGGAAGCATCCTTGTATTGTGGTGACAGTTCAACTGCATGAGCACTCAAAATCATCAATGAATAGCTATCTGATGTATTATACCAATTAGCTTATGTCTACAATCACATCTGTTTCACATCTTGGCTTCATTTACATGCCCAAGTTCCCTACATCTTGGGTAATGAGATTGAATCAATCCTTAACAACAGCTAATTTCAAAGCCATCACATAAATTTTGTTTCTTTCTCTTGAATGACAAATTGTTGGTGTACATTTCAAACTCTCAAGAGACCTACAACCATTTGGAAAACCTCCAGTCCTGAAATAATTCTTGATCACCATCCATTATGTACATCCACGTTTTCTACAAAATACTCAAAATGTATTCACAAAAGGTATGCAACCTACTCCTGTGCATTGATCTTGATTCCTTTGGAAGCTGTTTGGCTTGACATGGCCTAAAAAGGGTTTTCAAAGGGATTGAGTTGACTTCAATCAATTTGATTGGTGGAGTTGAAGTCAAAAATAACTTTCAAACATAACCCAATGTGTTGTCATTGATTAGCACTTTGACATCATGGTCTTGATTGCATTATAAATCCATTCTGCTTTCTTGTATTATGGTCTAGGCAATTTAATAATGGTAAACAATAAATAAATAGAATCATTTGTTTTAAATTAGCAAAGAAGTTGTACTGGGGGGTTTCTGACTATTGAGACCGGTAATAAAACCACAAAGATTTGTTGTAAAGCTTATCTTCTTGGTTAGACCTCTTGCTAGCAACATTGATTGATAGATTGATATTTTTTGAAGTAAGGGAGTTAGTAGAGGTCCAAATTAAAGCAGAGATCACGGTTACAAGTGTTGAAAGCCAATCAAGACTACAACGGTTGTGACAGGTGAAGAAGAGATGTCAAGGTTTCTATTAACTAGTCTAAGAGTTGTGTTTGTTGTTATGTGTGATGTTTCTTTCAGTTTCCCAACAAATGTTGTAGTTGATCAGTCCCAATGAGTTTGATTCAAAGTTGATTAGATATATATGTTATCGTGTTCCCTCTATCTTATTCTCTTTCCTCACTAACTTTTATATCTGTAAAGGTACTAATGTTGTTACAATACTAGATTCCGTTAGATCAACTTCTGAGCCTTCTTTCGCTCTTAACTCACATTCTTGTTTTTATATTTACCTCCAATAACTTAGGTAGATATTATATAATCTTATCAATTACTTTCATTCTCTATTTCTCATTACTTTCATTCTCTATTTCTCATTAATTTCTTTCTCTCGTTTTGTTCTTGTTGTCTTTCAGGTTAGGCCCAAGTCTGCAATACTTGTGGTAGTCGGAGAAGTGTGCTCACGTTAAGCACAATCATATTAGGTTAGCTACTATTGAAATTAATTTATCTATTGGAAAGAGAATTCCGTTAGATCAACTTCTGAGCCTTCTTTTGCTCTTAACTCACATTCTCATTTTTATATTTACCTCCAATAACTTAGGTTAGTCCCAAGTCTGCAATACTTGTGGTAGTTGGAGAAGTGTGCTCACGTCAAGCACAATCATATTAGGTTAGTCCCAAGTCTGCAATACTTGTGGTAGTTGGAGAAGTGTGCTCACGTTAAGCACAATCATATTAGGTCTTACGGTGTCTCAAGCCATTTACAACAAGAACAGAAAGTGTGTTTGTGAACCGGGTTGATTGGCTATATGTCAGCTAGGCAATTATGTTTGGTATATGTGATGGTGATCAGTGGTGGGTTTTGTGCCACATTGTGCAAGAAATTATTGGTAGCATGTATTTTGATAGGCCTGCTGAGTTATTGACAAGTGAGAGTTGGCTTGAGCTGTGTTGGTTTAGATTTGATACTGGATGGGTCAAGTGTATGTATGAGAAGAAAACTGAATGTGATCCATCTGAGCCATACATAGGCTATAAGCAGGCCTGTATACTTGTTTAACACAAATAAAACACAATCAGATTTCTTTCAAATCACTTTGTGTGTAAATGTCAACATGCCATATGAGAACAGAGATGGTGACAGTGTATACATCACCCCTGGGGCCAGACTGGATCACACTACATACACTGTAGTGATCTTTTGGCCCATGGGGGTGCTGTATCTTTTCTGTGCCCACTTGTACACTAGTAACTGACATCTTTTATCTTCTAGCCCATCAAGATGGAATGAAGAGATGATAATTGAGGATTATTCTTCACATAGATTTCTATGAGGTTACTTCTTGGATGGTATCAATCACAGATGCTGTTCACTGGCCATCAAATCTAGTTTTGACGCAGAAACTTTTCTGGATGGGCCATTGTTGGATGAAGACATTGATGCTGCTTGTGCGCTTAAGCAGTACCATTAATTTTTTTACAATTAATACTCCAATTGAAGTTCACAATCTTGAAACACTTTTGATCAAACACCCAAACAGACCATTTGTTGCCTTGGTTCTCAAAGTTTTACATGTAGGTTTTTGGCTGACTTCATCTTTACCTTGCGCTTTGTCTGAAGTTGTGGATGGACCAAATCACATCTTGTATGAAACTTATGAGAATTCTGGACAATCAATGTCAAGAAGAGATTGAGAAAGGGAGGTATTCAGCCAAATTCTCTACTTTTTTTTGCCAGACATGAAGGTCATCCCGCTACTTGTGACCTCTAAAAGAGATTCATTAGAGATACAGATGTGCTCCATTGAGATGAAGTATAAGACCTTTTTAGAGGCTTTCACAAGACCCATGGATATTTGTTGCCAGAGACCTACACAAGGCATGAGCAAAGGGAAATACTAAGAGAAAAAATTATGAGCACATGGTCCTGGAAGTGAAAAAGATTTGGGCTACATAACATTTTTTTCTCTTGCAAAAAAAACTAGTATTCTAGGTTTCAAAAAAGTGAGATTCTACTTTTGAACTTTGAGTGCCCTTAATGTTTCTTTAGCCTTACACATCATAATCCATGGTGTTTGGCCTTTTTATTTCAGTGGTCTTCTCAAGTTGTTGGGTTTGGTTGAATTCATACTGATAAATATTTTTTGTTTGTTAATTATTCACTTCCTTTCCTACTTCACCACTATTCCCGTACGCTGGTTAGATGGGTTGGAGAGGGCGTATTTCTTTATCATTCAAGTGATATCAAAAGACTGTTTTTGTTTTGGCATTTCCACCTATTTCCACTCTATGTAAACAGATAGTAAGTTAAGTAGTAGGATTTTATTTACTAAGTGTAAAGTGTGTATGTAAATTTTAAGATTGTGATCCAGATTGAGTTTTTGTAAGTTTAGTTTTGAAGTCACATGACGATTACATAAGATAACTTAAATCTAAATCAAAATAAATTCAAACCACAGTCAGAGTGTCAATCAGAACAGAAAATAAAAATCACAACAACTATCACTTCATCATCAAAAACTGATATCAACTCATTCATATCCCATCACCATGTCATCTTCCCCATCATCGATCAAACCATCCATCAATCATTCAAAATCACTTCAACAAACTCTAACTACCAATCCAAAATCACATCTCTCATCATCATCTAACTTCAATACGACCAGTTCATCATCTAATCCTATCACAACCTTAGCACACTTACCACGTAAACCAACCAATCCAAACCTACGAATCCATCATCCTTCAAACCCATCAAGTTTAAACTCTAGTAATCTGTCGAGTACTAATCCTTCATCTTCTCCTACTAGTTTTAATAAAACAGGCTTAGGATTCGGAAGAATAGGTTTAGTAGAAACTCCTATGAACCATCAGATTCAAACCACAAACGCTCAATCAGCTTACAACAATGAGTCTAAGAAGAAACCCTTTCATCATCATTTAAAACCTTCTCATCATTCTCCTCCTACTACTAGAAGATTAGGATCGTTTAATTCTTTGGCTTCTTTACCTATCCTTTCAAAAGATTCAAACAAATTGCTGGCAGATGATCTGATCAATCAACCCACTGCTTCTTCTTCTCCTTCACAACAACAACAAGATTTACATCCGTTGAGATTCGAATGGGTCTTTTGGATCTTACATAGATCTCCTAATAAAAAGATGAATGAAGAAGAGTTTGGTAAAGCTATGAAAAGATTAGGATCATGCAATTCAGTAAGATTTTCTCAAGATTCGAGACCCAAAGCTTAATTTAACTAATTCAAATCCTCTTTTTTTTTAAATAATCATAGGTCGAAACCTTTTATCCATTATACTTACATCTCAAAAGACCATCACTTCAAACCCCAATAGCCGACATCCATCTATTCAGCAACCCCATCAAACCAGTCTGGGAAGACCCGAACAATGTGAAAGGAGGCAAATGGACGATCCGTTTACGTAAAGGATTATCCGATCGGTTATGGGAATCTTTGGTGTTTAGTTTAATTGGTGGAGGGATTGAGAAATTAATTCATTCTGCTTCTACGGAATCGAATAAAGGAGAAGAAGGAATCGAAACTCAAGAGATTTGTGGAGCTGTTTTGAGTATTAGAAAAGATGAGGATTTGATGACTGTTTGGCATAGGAATGGAGATAATCAGTTATCGGGTGATGGTAAGATAGCTAAGAAAGTCAAGTTGAGTTCAAAAACACACAACAAAAAAAACCGTTTCTTTTTCTTTTCAAAACACTGATTGATGGTTTTGATTTTTGATTTTTTGGGGGGGTTTTTAGACTAGCCATCCAAACTGTTTTACAACTACCATTAAACTGTAATTTGGTTTACAAATTAAATGCCGATAGTTTAGCCAATGGAGTAGGACAGAAACTAACGATTTCAACAGGCACTACAATAACTACAACTACAGGTCAAGTTGGAAATCAAGGACATTCTAGACTTCAACAACAAAGATCTTTGAATAGGAAACGTGAAAGTCTTATGGGAACAGGAGGAGGAGGAGGAAGTAGTGTGGAAAATTGATGGAACTTTAAGAAAAAAGGGAAGGAAATGGAGTGATGGATTTGTGGATTTGGGGGGGTTGGGACAATGAAATATACCGAGAGAAAAGTTTTGTAGAAGAAGAAGAAAGAAGTTGAATCTCTTTACATATATATATATATGTCTACTTGAAGTTTTTTTTTCTTATTATCCTCGAAAAAAAAAGTTTTTTTTTTTTGATAGAAGAAGAAAACGAAAGAAAAAAAACAACAAGGAAGTTTATGATTTTATTTTCTTTTGTTTTTCTTTTTTTTTTGGATTTTTTTTTGAAAAAGGATTTTTAAAGAGGATTATAAGAGATTGATTATAAAGAAAGTTTGATTATGAAACTTGAGATTAACATGAGATTAAAAGGATTAGATGAAAGAAAAGAGAGAAGATGGTGTGTGAATGATCAGAAACTCAAAAAAGATCTTCAAGAGTAACGTAGGTAATAGAAATCTAATCATCCTGGGATTTGATGAGAGAGATTTCTCATTTCCTACACTTTGGTTTAGGTCCATTTTGAATTTCTTATAAATTCAAAGTTGATATATAGATGGATGTAAAGCTTTCTTCTCTATGGAAATTGATGAACAAGTATTTGTTGAAGTGTTTTATTACTGAGAATTTATTGATTGAAATTTTACATTTTGAGCAGTTGAACCTGATCATGAATGTATGAGAGATTGAGCCAAGTGGTATATGAAAGAGGATAGAAGTACAAGCAGCTATGACGTTTGTGAGCAATTTTGACACATCAACAATACGAATGCCTGATAAGCCGCAAAGTAAGAAGAGTTTGAGAATCAAAGTTGTTAAGCATGTAATATATATGATCATCTCATGTAATGGCCCTGGGTGATGGCAAGGGGCAAAGGTAATGGATCAAGATAAAACAAAGAAAACTATTTAATAAGAAATGTGATCTCACATATTGAGATCGAAGCATATATCTTGACATTATAAATAATATCTGAGCCTCGAATTAATATATCAGACATATTATATTTGTACAGAAAAGAAAATATTCAGCATGACCCCCAAACCAATCTAGATTTCACCGCACAACACAATCTCCAAAACTTTAAACAAAATCAAATCGATTCCCCAATGTTTGTAATAAAAATAGATGACTGAAAATTACAACATTTCCTTCAAGAGAATTTATCGATGTAGAATTTTTTTCAAAGTTTCAAAAAGGGAATTCGACTACTCTAGTATGTTGAGCAAGGACTTGTTTAAGTTTACCTTCTTGTAATCCATGTACGATTTCACTTTCATGCCATATTGGATGATTGGTTTCTGGATTCGGTTTAGGATCAAGTGTAAGAGTATATTGGATTTCTAAAGCAGATAATGCACCTCCATAAGCCGAAGAAATACCTAAAAGAAAAATCAATGAAAACAAGATTTCAATTTGTTTTTCCGTCTTCGTTAAGAGTTGTCTGTTTGAAGAGAAAAATCGAGCAGGGGTTTTTTCCCGTTCATCTCACTTACCTGTATCAATTAATAAAATTTTACCTTGACATCTACCCAAGATTCCTTTAAACTGAGGTGTATGACCCATCACCAATCTTCTAACATTCAAAAGATTAATCGTCTTTTCAATCTGATCACAAATCATTTCTTCATTCTCTTCTAATGCATATGATCTTTCCCAAAGTGGACCATGAGAAGAATAAAACATCTTTTCTTCCATTGTTGTATCTGATGGTAATCCACCAGTGGGTTTTGGATTTTGTAAGCTTCGGTTTAAGAAAGATTGACCGATCCTATTGATTTCGCTGATTCCAATCTTTGCATACTCAGGTGTGATTCCTCCATGTACAAAAGCTATGGCTGAGTTCAAGAATGGGTTTGGCTTAGATGATTTATCTTGAAAGGTTTCGAAATATGTTGAAGGATCGATGGGTACTTGGTTTAGATTTGAATCGGTTGAAAGTATATATGGAACTCGGGCCGTTGTGTTATAATTCTTTAACCAGCTTTCTCCTATCCATCCTTCTGACGACATTAATTTCCTTCGATTCTTTTTACCTCCAAACGTTTCGATATCTTCTTCTGTTACATACCTCCAATCTCCTAATGCGTTCATATACTATCAAACAAACATCATCAAATGTTAAGAGTCTGATCAGAGCTTGGGAAATACGATCAAGTCTTCAATGAGAAAGAAAAGGTTCGACTAACTTCATGGTTTCCAAGTAAACTAACAACAGCTCCTCCAGCAGCTTTAGCTTCATTCCTTAACCTATCCATCAACTAAATCAAAAAAAAATCGAACCATTAAGAAAAAATAGATCAGTGTTGTGAAGAATTAAATCTTCACCTGAATGATATGAAACAACTCAACTTGATAAAGAACAATAGTATCTCTACCTCTATCCACAATATCACCAGTTTGAACCAAGACGGTTTTCTTTCCAATCCATTTATTTCTCATATCAATCAATTCAGCTAACCTCAAGACTCTAACCGCATGAGGTAAATCTCCATGTAAATCTCCTATTGCTACTACTCTTTGTTTATGTTTCGTTATTGTTGTTGATGAAGAAGATGAAGAAGAAGAAGTTGAAGTGGTTTGATTTCTGTTTAGGATTGATTTGGTGGATGAAAAGTATGGTTTCCATATGTATTGATAACTTATTATGAGTGTTGTGATTATGATTAGTATCCTACGAGAACGTGACATTATGAATGAGCTTGGGTTCTGGTTTGATGAACTTGAAGTGGTTATCTACTGGGTATTTTTTCGAGGTTGATTGATCGATTTGAGGTTTCTTTTAGTCAGATCAACTTTGACAGAGAGTATATACATACATACAAACCTCGTTAAAAGCATATCTAACGATCGAGAACTTCAGCTAGCCTTATAAAGTGAGGAATATGCAAATAACACATGGGCCAGTGCATGGGAATCGGATGAGGAATAATTTTGGGTTCGAGTTTCATTTGGTGATTTTAAATTTGATGAAATAAATTAGACGTGGCTAAAATCCTAAGATCTGTTTTTTTTTCTGAAGTGGTGAGAGGAAACAATACACTGCCAAAAAAAAAACCGTACCCTGACCACCCGCTAGTAAATTTGACCGTATAGGGTTATTCAAAAAAGCTGTTGATGGTGAGTGTGGTGAAGCACCGGTGGAGGACAGTTGCCATGGTGAGAATTTTGGTCAACAAAGCTTTGTCTAGGTAGGTTTGTATTCTGGTGATCATCACTTCAATCATTGGCTAGAGTGCATCACTTGCTGTTGAGTTCTTGTTCCTACAACTTTGCTTGCAATTGAACATACTGAGGTATTACCATTGCACCAGTTGGTATATTACCCTCCATCTTCTTGGTGATTGTCAAGAATGGATGATTGAAATACAAAAAGCACCTTAAAACAGGAAAACAGATTATAACTTGGGTTGGTTGATAACTTGATTCTTCATGGACACGTTGAGGTGTTTGGCCTCAAGCGCTGCCCAGCACCATCCATATAGCTTTGCTTTGAGTCTAATGTATTGGATAGAAGCTCACAACCATAGATTGGTCAGATGTGAACAAGGTCATGCTTTGCAGAGCAGCCAGACACACATGCCTTGATTGGATGTGAGGTTATTAAATTTGAGAGCCTTTGTGGAGACAAAGGCATCCAGAGCTCCATTGGTTTTCTTCTGTGCAGCTTCTTCTGGAGTTTGGAGCTTGGCAACTGAAAGAGGTATCTTTAGTCACTGTGCTCAAGCTCAAAGTTGTCTTGGACATCCTGCAGTGGATTGACCATCCTGAGTCAATCCGTCTCAGTGCACTTTGAGGTTGGCTGTTGGGTTAATGTAACTGATCCATACTGGTTAATTTTGTCATGGGTACACGATGAACATGGATAAACAATGTGGAATAAAATGAAATCAAGAATTACATCATTAGCTTTGCTGTGGAACAGTATTCCAAAGTACGCCAGTAGGGTGTCAGTCTTCTCTGCCTTGTAGAGATTGGTATGTTTTTGTTTTCACACTTGTTGGTTTTCCTTGTCTGAATCAGCTCAAAGGACCACTTTTGTGATATGCTGAGAAGAGCTCTTGAAAACTTGAAGATTCAGTATTAGGAAAGAACCAATCACCAGCTTGGTTTGATCATGTTATTGAATTGACTTACTTCATTGGTGCTTGTGGTCTTCTGGATTCTTCTGTGCTTTGCTGTTTTTGGGACAACAACTCAGGACAAATTTGACCACTCTAATTCTCATCTTTGGAATCAACAATTACTGTTACTTTCTTCTTGAAAGTTGCTTTTGGTGGACCTTGGTGAATGGAAACTCTTTGGTGGCTATTGGGGAAGGTACAATCATTTTATTGGACATAGGAATGTGGTTTCTTTGAGGCCGGCTAGGGGTGGCTGGTGTTGGAATACAGGATGAGGATGAAGTGAAATTGAGTTGAGATAGTTACAAACTTGTAGGCATGACTGATAATTGGATAAAAACATAGTTGAACATCTGTATGAAGTTTCCAACCAATAACCACCAAGTAGGATTAGTGATCATGATTGAAGATGATGAGGAATTGTAGATGATGAAAAAAAATTGGGAGAAAGGTAGAGACATGAGAAATCATGAGACAAGAGAGACAAGAGATGGTGGATTATAAAAACCACAAGGGTTGAACTTGGACTTACCATCAGGACATTCATGTCCATGGCAATGCTATGCCTATGTCCCCTTGTGTCCATCCTGCAGCACAATTGACTGCAATTTGTGCTAAGTAGTTGTTTTTGGTGGTTATTCCTGCAAAAATCTTGTGTATATTGGGAAAGCTTGGCCCTTGTGCTTCCTTAACACGACATAGAGCTACTGTAATGGGGTGCAAGGCTGATGTGCAACTTGAAAAATAACATCTTGTTATCCAATGGGGCTGACATAACTTAAAAAAGCCCGTTAACAAGAGCTCTTTTGAGACACATTAAGTTTTCAGATAATGTTTTGCTTACACCGCAGGAATTAATTAGTTCAAAACCCGATTGAACCGAGTTTCGGTGTCCGGGTTTGAAATTTCCTTGAATCGTGAATTTCGTTCACAATTCGTTTGCAATAGGTTTGCCAATTGCCCTTGAGCGGTACTCTGTTGGCCCCGCGTATGTATGTACAGCTACAACATACAACAACAACCCCATTTCCGACCATTGAGCCATCTTTCCTTTGTCATGCATCCTCAGTCTTGATGCTCTGCATATCGGCGAATCTGTGGTGACTGTTGTTTAAAGGCGTTGTTGTTGTATGATGTAGCTGTGCATACACGGGGCGAGCAGAGTACCGCTCAAGGGAAATCGGCAAACGTATTGCAGACAAATTGTGAACAAAATTCATGATTCGAGGAAATTTTGAACCCGGACACCGAAATTTGGTTCAATCGGGGTTCAAACTAATTAATTCCCGTGGTGTTAGAGCTATGTGGGTCTTACGCTAGCATTACAAGCAACACTAATGCCTCAGTGTTGGCACACACTCCATCCACCAGCAGACTCAACAGCAAGTCTGCTGGTGACACTCAAAGTGCACCAGCTCTGTACTGTGCCCTAAATGTTGCCTCTGGATCTAGTCTCACCACAAACTTACCCAATGATCTAGGTTTTAATCCTGAAAACTTGTCAACAGCCAACTACTTGAGTGACTCATATATGCCATGGTTACTTAAAAGCCACTCTAGGCTACCCTTGCACAGAGTGGTAGCCATTGTTACACAACTGCACCATTGCCACCACCCTTATGTACTGTCCTTGATTGTTGACCAATCTTGACACTGCTCCAATATGCATTGACATTGACATTCCGCCTAGGGATACCATCTCACTCCCATTTTGGATATAAGTCTCGTTGAGTCGTGGATACGCGGGGCGGATTCTATCCGCCAAGCCGCGGAGGCCACGGGAGCAATTCATTGCCGGGTCACGGCTACACGGGTGTTGTTCTGTTTGTCTGTTTTGAGCGGCAGTAGGCGGCAGTATCTCCGCTTTGAAGTCTCGGAGCACTCAGTTTGGAATGCGCGTGCTGATTACCAATGCACCGACACTTGCTGTTATAACGGCACGCCCCTTCAAACTCAACTACTCATCCTCCTATCGCTATGCATTTTTTCAAGATGAATTATCTGGTTTGAAATTCTACCTAATCTGCCATCTTTCACTATATCGTTTCCATAGACATCCAGAATTCATATTGACTTTTATAATATCTTCTATTCAACTTGATAGCTTACTGAAGGGGCCGTGCTCAAGCTTCATGAAGAACAAAAAGAAGATATACCCGATCTAGTTCTTCAAGTCCTTTCTCTCAAACCAGTTGGAGTTCCCAATGCTAGAGCAGCTACTGCCGGACCTCAACGATGGAGGTCAGTATCTCTCTTTCTCTTTCTATCTTCCCACCAGCAACACGTGATACTGATCACGTTTGTTTTTCATCTTTCTTGTTACACAGACTCATGATTTCAGATGGAGTTCATTTTATTACTGCTATGCTTTCAACCCAACTTAATCATTTGATAGATGAAGGAATGTTGCAAAGGATGTGTATTGTCAAACTACCCAGTTATACCATCAATATGGTAGGAGAACGTCGAGTGGTGGTTTTATTGACTGTAGAAGTGATCGATAGTACTTGTACCAAAAAGATTGGTAATCCTACAGCATGTGGCGCACCAGAGGATGGAGCGGCTCGTCCTGTAGTCGCCAAACCTGAACCCACAACTGAAGATACTGAACCGACGATAACTCCTTCTAAACCTAGTGTGCCAAACTCTAATGCCAAACCATCGATGAACTCTTCTAATCGTCAAGTCGGACCTTATGTGATCCCGATCATGGATCTAAGTCCTGATTCCAATAAGTGAAGATCTTAATACCTCAATGTTATCCTAAAAGTCTTGTCATAATTCTAACATCTCTTTCCTAACAGTTTGGGAATCACCGCAAAAGAAGCACATAAATCCGACATCAACCACTGTCATAACTCCAATATCCAGGAGCGAAGAGCTGTTGTATTGGACAAAGGACACCAACTTGCTGAGCGTGCTCTCAGACTTGAGGAAGAAGTCAAGAGAAGTAAGGTGTATAATGATGACATGAATATCATTATGACTTCAGTTGACACGTGTCCAGATGAACAATCAAGAGAGATCCTCAGATTAATGAAAGCAAGATTATTGAGGAAGTACAGAGAGGCAGAAGGTGTACAGGATGATCACTAGTTATTTTTATGTTTTTGATTTGTTGTTTCCAACTTCTGTAGACTCAGTTTCCACTTTTATTTCACCAATGGCAATAGCTTAAAAACAAGAGCAGTGATAGTGATGATGAGATCAGATGTTATCTTGTGGATTTGAAGTCTTGAGTTCACCAACTACAATGGCTTTCAGAATCAGTCTTCACTCATATTTCATCAACTACAATAGGAGCAGTGATTGTGATTGTGACCAGATATTTCATCTTGTTGATTTGTTCCCTCAACCTTGTGCAGACCCAGTATCTACTTTTATTTTTCCATTTACAATGGCTTCAGCAAATGCAGTGAAAAGTGATTGAACTCCATGTCGTCAAACTTCTTTGTTGAAAACTAATTCTCCCCAGTGCATCTTTTCATTCACATCAAGACTTTGAGATCTTCCATTAAGTGTAAGTCTTGATCTTGGTTTCTTAGCTCAGCAATAACTTTGTACTGAGCAAGACTATTTGTATGAGTTGGGGATTGAGTCAGAAGCCAACAATCAGCCCAAAACCGCAAGCTGACCTTGGCCTGGCACAAGTGACCAGAGAATCCAAAGCCATGACCAAACCACAAGCCTCTAGAGCCTGGTTGTTCTTGAGGCTATCTGTAGTGAATAGCCTTATACTATCTGTAACTAACTAGGTGCAAGGATAGGAACTCTTTATGAAATAATTCAATGCGGATCTGAAAATCTATGCAATAGAGCAGAAGAGAACCTGGACAGACAGGTGTATGATGTGAGCTCTATGATAAGACTCAAATAGAACAATGAACACTGGGCGGAAGAGATCAACACCTTACCTGCAGAAGTGCAGGGAGTAAGAGAACAAAAAGAACTATTTGAGACACATGTGAGCGCTATCCAGGAAACAGTGATGAAGGTGAGAACAGTGAAAGAGCTTACTCTTGAGCAATCAATTCCTAACAGTGAGGAAGAAAGTCAGAGCTCAAGAGAGGCTGGGTATAAGAGTAAACTGAGCACAAGGTACAGACACAAGAAAAATTCTGACAAGGGGCTCAAAACAAGTGAACACACACAAAATTGTATAGCTATTCTCAAAGAGGAAAAATTGAAACCCATCATTCCATCTACATTCCACACACTATTCCTGATTTGAATACCACATCTCCTCATTCATCAACCACATGAAACCAGTCCTTGAATCCCAATCAATCTTGATTTCAAAATCTGAATTGCCCACACACACACGGCTTGAGTCATCACATACACACACTACTAATCACTGTGAAGGTCTTGAAAGTGATCACAGTCTGTTTACCACAACACTTTAATTGAAAGAAATTCAATTATAAGATAGTAAAGATCTTTTGTGTTCTTTTTGAGAACAACAAAGAAGATGAAAATGTATTGAAGTCAAAACCTGTTCTTGTTACAGGACAAAACCTCATAATTGTATGTAAAATTTACAGGATTTCACAACATGGTTTCCTCAGACCCATACGCCTTATCACAACACAAACAAAAAAAAACAATCAAAAACTAAAACACCATGAAAAGAACAAAAGTTTAGAAAAAACAGAAGAAAATGATTGAAAACAAAGAGTAAAGATCTAAAACAAAAAAATGTAAAAAAAAACAAAAACAATGCAACAAAAAATAAAGATTGGATGAGGTTATTGAGCTTGAGATTCATGAGTGGTGGGATGGGCAATTTCCAAAGCCATAGGCAGTTTGAAATTTGGATTAAACACCAGTTATGTTTTGACTGCTTAACTCTTTGATTTTCATTTTGGAAAAAAACAAGCTACTTAGGAACACCTGTTGATACCAGTGATGTGGACAACAAGCATGAGATACATCCTTGTCCTTAGGATGGCAGGCGTAGATACAATATATTTTCATTCAATTAAAGTTTGAAATCTTTTGATATCATATTTCTTGGCATAGATTCTTTGTTGGGTTTTTATACAACAATGAGCAAGGAGCAATGCAATAGATTGTGTTGTGGTTAGAATTTTTATAGCATCCACATTTGATTATTTTTTCATGAATAAACCACAAAATCTGTCAAGGGTTTTGGCCATTGTGCAGCAATACAATACAGTCTCCACATCCACACCCAACCTGCCCCTGATCCGGTCTCTTCCTGAGACCCTGAGCACATCCTTGGACTACACCATATATCCAAGAGACCTCTTGTAAACTACACTGTGCTTTAAAATTATCTTTGACTCCTCAGTTCCCTGGTTTCTTGTTTCTTGGCATTGAGGATTGGAAGACTTTGTTAAGTTTCTTCAACACATTGTGATATTATACACTATCAACCAATGGCATTAGAGGCAAACATCCAAGATATTATTGGATTAACATTAACACTCAAAAGAAAAAAATGCCCCAAAGAAAACATACAAGCTTTTTGTCATGTCTATTACAATGACTCTCATCAATTTTATGGGCTGAATTCATCTCTGGCCCACCATCCAAGGAGACTCTAGATTCTCATCTCTAATGAAAGTATTATTATTTTTTATCCTATTTCTTTGATATACACACCTCTTGTCTCTCTGACAGGTGGATTTGGCTGAAACTATTACTGTTTTGGTTGTCCTTCTCTGAGCTAAATTGTACCTTTCATTGCCCATGAATTCTCCTGTAATTCAGTTTGCTATCAAAATTGGTCAAAGTATAATTAGGACAATCCAGTGGCAAATAAAATCATTTTCTGAGTCTCAGCCTGAGCCCCGACCGGAAAAATGCGGGTAACCGCCCCCCAAACCAATACCCAATAAGCCCCCCCGTGCCCAAACCCTACCCCGAACCAATGAAAACCCGGCTCTCAGAAGCCCCCCCCCAACCCCTATCCCAAATGCCAAAACCCGCGGGAAGCCGGGGGTCCCCGCGGATAAAATTGGGGGGTTGAGCACTATGCCCCCCCGCCTCCAAGCCCTAAGGGGCCCAAAAAGCCTGACCGATCCCGCACCCCGAGAGTTCGGGGCTCAGGGAACCCTTGGGGCGTTGGTTCCGGGGCTCAGGCTGAGCTGAGTCTACATTGAACTAGGTCAAGCTGCATTGTTAATGCAAAGTCAAAGAAACACATGTGATATTTGTTACACTTACGGTACTCAAAGTTGTGTGTAGTTTATGTATACTTTTTTGTGTATAATTTTGGCCTCTTTTTCCCTGCCAAAAGAAACTATCCACAAAAAACTATCCACACACTATCCACAACTTTGAGTACTGTCACACATAATATGACAGCAAAAACAGGGACCATTTGTGAGACAATTTGGTGGAATTGAACTGACAAGGGCTTGTGTCACAACTTAACAGAGCCTGTACATACAATCATTCAATCATGGGAAATGTCAGATCATGTCAGATTAAAAAAACATACATCACAACAAACACAATCTCATAACTATTTTCCAGGATACACACCAAAGTATGTAATGACACAGTGAAACTCTCTATATTTATAGGTACCTATAACATGTATCACTTGCTGCATAAGTAAAAATAAATACTTGGTAAGCTTATATGAGGGGATATCATCCTTCTTTCCACCTAAATCCAAGGAGTCATCATACCATCTCAAAAAATCTTTATCCAAAAAGTCTTACTCCTAATCATTCATTGTCTTTACTGCATATCACAAAACTTATCATTTCATAGAAACAGTGGGTAAATCTCTTTCATTGTTCTTGATCCTCTTGATTTCTTTGAAGTGGTTTAACTTAGAGGATCAGAATCATGCCCTCAATGGAAATGTCTGGCAACCAGATCCCAGTGTGGATAATGTGATGACTCTTATATTTATCTTGATGTTGTGGTACAGACTTAAGGATCCATTTTATCTAGAGTTGATCCAAGAGATATTTCCCTTTTGATTTCATGTTTACCCTCTCTATGCTTGTCTCCTTGATCCCATCTTCTACAGTACTGGGCATCAAAGTTATTCTTGAAGTGACCCACCACATCCTTAAAACAATTAGATTAACATATACTTGCTTCTTCCATTTACAGTCTTTACCTATAAGATCACTTGCACGGGAAGTTTACATCAACAGTCACAGAGGTTCTTGATAAGTTTGACTGTTGACTTTATATCATTCAGAAGGCACTTTCCAGTAAGTTTTCAGAAGCTTTCACTGTCAGATCAGTGAGATACTGATTCATGATCAAACTTTTAGCAATGTTTTACAATGGCTCTGTGAAACTTATGATAGTCATATCTTTTATGGCACTTGCACATGGGCCCAAGTACACAAAGGCTCTGCCAGAAGAGGCTGGTTTGTCAGATGTGGCTGCATATGGTGACTGTGATTGGTGTGAATTTCCAAGGAGACTTGAAAGGAGATTCAACAAAGAATGTGGAGAATTGTTTAGTTGTGGGTGTGAAGAGGATACATTCACACCACATGAAGACCCAGTGGCATGTGAAAGGGAGGTCGCCAAGACCGAACTCATTTGTACAAACCCGCAATGCCAGAAAATTGTGGTGCAAAACCCTTGTAGAAGTGATCATTTCAGAACCTGTTATATTTTTCATGGTTGAGATTCAGATAAAATGATTCTGCATGTCAGTTTGAAAGTTTGCATAATTAGTCTTCTATCATCCCTTGGCTAAAATATATCTCTTATAAACAGTTCCCAATGGACCTGTTCTTCCAAGACCCCAAAGCATGACCACATAGATTGTCTTATTCTCTTGTCTTCAAGTTTTCCTGAGCTAGCCATCTGGTAGACTTCTTGAGTTCTGAATTCTTATAGACTTGTATTGGAAGAGTCCTCATTACTCCTGATTTCCTGCCTTTGGGAGACCTCCTTTTTGTGCTTTTACTCTTGTAAGGCTACAGCTGGAATGATACAAAGGTTTATGCGGACGAGTCTCTGATGCCCATATTCACTATGGTGCTGATATACTTTCTGGATATCCCCTTTCTTAAGACATCCTCAAACAAACAACTAAGGAAGATATGAACGTGATCAAAGTCCTTTCAGCGTGATCTAGTGTCACAGATAACCAGGGTGCTTACATACTTGATCATTGTACAGTGAGTTTCCTTTATGAGCATTCACTACACAAGCATATTTTTATTCAAGCATCAAAAATGATGCGTCCATTTTTGGTGGGCAGTAAAATCAGATTTATAAGCATATTAAACATATGCTCCAGGTTTTGGGTGATATGCTTGTAAAATCACATGTTTAGCATGGGAAAACAAGCATGACATAAATCACGGAAGCAGTTATGCTTCAATATGATGTGAGCAAGGAAGCTAAACCGGCTTAAATCAGACTGAATTGAGTTGGAAAGGTCAGATTGACAATCTACAGCAACTTTGGCCATCTCCATTGTGTACATGTGCAGGTGTCCATCTTGTTTCTGTCAATCTCTTTCTAGGACAGATTGACCCCTCACGTGTTCAAAAGACCACTTCTCATACTTGAAGAAAGTAGTTGCTCCAACCAAATTACAGCCGTTATCACAATTAACGGTAGAATTCTGTGATCATGCGTCGCTCTCGAGGTTAAATCTGGAGAAGTCAAAACTGGATTAAACCCAGTTTTGCACCCAAATGAACAAGGAGGCCTGGGAGACCTGTCACTTTGAGCCGGCTTCAACTAGTTTTTGACTTTTAGATTAAATTCCGATGCAACACACCAATGAAGAATTCTACCATTAATTGTGATAACGGCTGTAGTTTTGAGGCCCTTTTGAATCCTGAGATTGAGGCTCAATCTACCGAAGCTGAAGTTCCAATGCCTACAGACATTGAGATCCTTGTACCACTGCTACTGGCCATGAGGTCTTGCCGATGGAAGAGGAGGCAGAAGAAGATGCTGATGAACCTCGGCAAACGTCAACCATCTCACAGGCAAAATCCGCTGTTGATGAGCTCAAGTACTTCTTATTTTCGCGTCCAGTCCAGTACTTCCATCCCAAAATCAACCAATCCGAGGCTGATCACATACAAGCTTTGAATAAGCTTCTTGATGATCTCACCCTCAGACAGACCCAAAATCTAACTCAGTCAAAGATCACGCAGTTCTTCTCCATTAAGAACTCGACTAAAATCCACACTCATGTATCAAATCCGGTTCAACCAGGTGTAATAGACACACGATTAATATCAAAATCACCTTGAGCGACCGACTTTTCTGAATCGATTCCGGCCTCGTCCAAACCATTCTCTTCCTCTGACTCTTATATGATTGTTTTCTTTCTGACTTTCTTATTGTTTGGTCTATCTCATTTTTACAACTATCAGCCCTCCAAGCAATTCTTTTTAAACATCTACAATCTTCTTCGCATCCTCAAAAAATTGATTGATACCTGCGGCTGCCTAGTTCCTCCCAAATCACATGTAAACATTTTCTTGATCACTTAATCTGGCTATATTTTTGCCATAAAGCACCCTTGAACTCTCAATGTCTCTACACATGATTTACGAATGAAATCAATGAATTTAGGAATGAATTTGATCCATTTCTCGGCCTAAAAAAGCCATTTTTAGAGCTAAACATAATGTTTAAGCATAAATATTTCTCCACAGCATTTATGCTCTTATGAGCTCTTGTTCGATAAGAAGCATATTCTATATTAGCATAGGATTGTGTGCCACCATCACCATGCTTATAAAGGAAACTCACTGTATATCTATATGCCTCTCGCATATATTGAAACTATCTGTTGGGAACCTTCTGCCAGTCAACGGAATAGTTTGTTGTGTTTGGATAAATTTGCTGTTAGAGCACCCACTATGGTGGGCGTGTTTTAACGTAGATTTAGCGTTCCTGAGTGCAAGATTTAATCATGCGCGTTTTACCTAAATTGGTAAACGCATGAAATCCACTATGGGATGATGTAACGAGTGATTTAGCTACGATGAATCACTGTGGATCGTCCTGATCCACAGTGGTTTGATTTTGAAATATGATAACTTATCTTTTCATAAATCTCATCCAAAAAAAACTCAATCAAATGCCTGCGCCGAATTCCTTGAAAAGACAAATCAACGGTCTTTTGAAGGCTTCAAACGATGATGATGAAGAACAAGAGTTTGACCAACTCATATTTGAAATTTTGTTTGATAAGCCTCGCACACCATCTCCACCTCCTCAGACTTGAATCCAAATAGATCGAGATCGAGAACGACGTGCTCAGCAACTCTACGAGGATTACTTCGCACCCAACGCTAGATACGAGTCCAAATTTGAACGTAGATTTCGAATGAGTAAAGAGCTGTGTTTGAGAATCATCGAAGATTTACAAAAATATGATAGATTCTGGGTTCAAAAGGCAGATGCCTGTGGTGTGATGGGACTCACAGTTTATCAAAAGGTAGTTTGTGCTCTGAAGCAGCTCACCTTGGGAATTCCAGCGGATGCGACCGATGACTATATTGGTATTGGGGAAACCACAGCAATATTAACTCTCAAGCTTTTCATGAAGCATATCAACGAAATCTACGGTGCGGATTACCTTTGACCACCCAATCCCGAAGAACTCAATCAGATTATGAAAGAGTATGAGTTACGTGGTCTTCCTGGCTGTAAGGGGAGTCTAGATGGTATGCATTGGGCTTGGAAGAACTGCCCACTTGGATGGAGTGGGCAGTTTGAAGGAAAAGAACATACCCCTACTGTTATACTTGAAGCAGTAGCCTCCCAAGATCTCACGATCTGGCACACTTTCTTTGGAACTCCGGGTTCTTTGAATGATATCAATGTATTAAATCGATCATTTCTCTTTGCCGATTTTCTCAAAGGTATGTTCAATTTTGCTTTCTTTCAAGTTCATTATCTGAGGAATTTGTTTTCTAGGAAATGAAGATGAAGTTCATTTCACCGTCAACGGAAAACTCTACAAACAAGCCTATTATCTAGGTGATGGGATCTATCCCGATTGGCCAACAATTGTGAAAGCGCCGCGAGATCGGCAATCACCAGCAGCCAGGCTTTTTGCTGAAGCTCAAGAAGCGGCTAGAAAAGATATAGAAAGAGCTTTTGGAGTTATACAAATTCGATTTGGAATAACTCATATGCCGTGTTGAATGTGGTACCTAGTAGATATGCACTCGGCTATGATGTGTTGTCTAGTCTTACACAATATGATCATCCAAGATCAAGGATCACTCGATCCTATAATCAAAGCTTACACCTCTCAAACAAGAATTATTCCAAAACTACAAGATCCTGGTGTACAAAATACCCTCATGACGTACCTTCAAAACACCCTTATTTTAAGAAATTCGACTGCTCATCAAGAGCTTCAGCGCGATCTCACAATGGACCTCTGGCTGAAGGAAGCAGGGCAATGATGGTCACTTTTTTAAAACCAACTTTTTATACTGATATTGCATTTGTTAAACTAATTTAAATATACATACACATGATTATATTGCTGGATGAGATTCATATCTACCGATTTAAATTTAAATACATAAGTTTTTTGCTCGATGATGGTTTAAGATTTGTATTGACATGACTGAGACTATGAAAGAGAAAATGAGCTCGATTTGAATGTGATTAACATCTGTAACTAATTGATGAGGAAATAGAAATCAGAATGTGACTATTGATATCTTTGAGCAACTTCTTCCTTCAACCCTCGTAATATTCTCTTTGAAATCTCGTCAGGACAATCTTCTTCCTTCGCTCGAGCGATTTCAAGATCCTTACTTTTAAGTTCGCTTGTCATTAAGCTATTTGCAATTCTATTAGACTCTTCACTAGCATCTGCTCGTCGGCTTGCAACTGCCGTAAATGAATTCATCGCTTCGATCCTTGCCATGTCATCACTAGCTGTTTTTCTTGAATCAACTCGCTGCTTCTTTGCAGCCTTTCCACCCATCGGACGTTCACCACTATCTTCAGGTCGAGCACGCGAGTTGGAGGAAGTTGAGGCTGAAGTTGATCCACCTTCAGTCGCATCTGGAGGTGGAAGGAGTTCTCGAGGGGGTGCTGGAGGAGGATGATTCCTTTGGTTGATAAGATGGACATCCCACTTGGGTTCATACCGAAGTTTCTGCCAAGCAGCGAGATGTTTGAAAGAAGTTTTCATCTCGGCTTGGTAGATCTTCATGGCATCAACTATCCAGGTGTCAGGAGAAGAGCCAGATGGGGGATCGTGTTCCAGACGAGCGTAGATTCCTGAAAACTTGAGAGTTGCTGGATTCAAAGTACGCCATCTGAAGGTAAAACAAGTTAAAATATTTAAATCTGTAATATACAAATAGAAGGTAAAGTTGTACTTACTGACCCTTGCACATCTTGCCTGAGCGGGTTGTGACCGAGTGAGAATTAAAATGAAGAGAAACATCGTCGAAAAAGGCATCACCACTCATGTTATTTGAGTATTCTGGCCGAGTACTAGTCACAACCCACGATATCGCAAGCTGTTCAAGTTTGGGTTCAGTCCAGTTGTCCCCGCGTTTTGAACTGGCTGTTGAACGAGCAGGGGTTGAGGCTGGAGGAACTGACATCTTGATTTGATTCGACTTGAAGTGTGATGTTCCAAGTTGTGATGTCTCGAAGTTGAGATTTGATGAACTTTGAAATTTGAAGTTCAAACGTGAAGTTTTGAAGTTTGAAGTTTGGAGTTTGAGATGAAATGGTATGTATGCAGTTTGAAGTTTTGAGAACAGTAGTTTTCCTACGATAAATCAAGTCGTAGCTGTTCGTAGATTTAAACATGGGGAAAGCAAGATTTGAGGGCACGTTTGGTTGGGATTATTTTGTGAGATTATTTTCGATAATTGCAGTCGAATTTCAAAAAAATCGCTGTTGAAAAAAACACGTTTGGCAGTGATTTTTGTACCTAAAAAAAATCTCAATCCCGGTCCCAAAAGTAGCTTTTGGGTACCTTTTGGATAATCTCAAAAAGGGAGATTATCCAGTCGATAATCTCTATTTGGGACTTGTCAAAGATTGTCCTCGATCTCCTTTGACGTCATCACTACGAGTTCCAAACCTTTTTGGAACTCTTTGACGTCGAGATCACTTTGAATCAAATTGATCAAAGTACTATCAAAGATCATCCTCGATCACTTTTCTCTTTACCATTTCAAAACAATCAAGGCCTTTTTTTTATAAGCCCATCTTTTCAAAAAGCACAAACTATGCCTCGAGCTCAGAAAGAAAAAAAAGAAAAGAAACAAAAGAAAGAAAAGAAACAAAAGAAAGATGAGAAAGATGAGAAAGATGAATCCGAAGAAGAACCGACTGAATCCAAAACGGAAAAGGCCAAGTGGACTGATTCCAAGGTTTGGTTCACATTGAATGAATTCATATCCGAGAAAGAAAACGGCAACATGAATGGCACCACCTGGAAGCCAATTGCATTTACGAACGTCACCAACAGCTACAATAAAGCGTATCCAGATGAACCTATGACCAAACGGCAAATTAAGAACATGTACACTGGAGTAAGTACATTCAATCTTTGCATGCTCGATTGTATAATGCTTAGTACATATCTGTGTCTATCTATTCAGAGAAAGAGTACATACAGTAAGGCTCGAAGATTGAAGATGAACTCGGGAATTGGCTGGGTTGACGGTGAATGCTGGATCGATATGCCAAAGCAATGGTGGGATGAGACTGGCGATGTAAGTGACTTTTGTATAATGATCATGTTCATATAACATTCTGACTATTCATTATACTTATGTACACTAGAAAGACAAAGATGCCGGCGGATTTCGAAACCAATCTTTCATTTTCTACAATCAAATGGACGAGTTACTCCATACATCGAAACCTGCCGGTGCACTACGTACTGGAACAAGCAGTGCTGTGCGAGTCAAAGCGAAACAAGTAGAGGATGAAGATGAATCAGACGACGATGAATCAGACGACGATGGATCAGATGAAGAACAAAAAAAGAATAAAAGAAAAGCAGACAGTGAACCCAGAGATGCTCAAGGATTAACCGCAGCTGAACGAGCTCTAGATGATGGTTCTCAAGACAGCGAAGATTCCAATCAAAAGGTCACTATCAATTCAGGTCAGTAAATCAATTTTTCTTATGTTTCAGTCTCCCATTCTCATCAAATTGTAACTCTCAAGGAGCTCGTGCGAGCAAGTCACAGAAAGGAAAGGGAAAAGCCATCCGAGTCAATCTCTCTGATTCTGACTCAGAAGAACCTTCGGCTTCTCGAAAGAAACAACCTGCCTCAAAAAGTAGCATCAAGAAGAAAACACCAGCGCGCCAGGTCAAGCCAGGCACGCTAGCAAATGCCATTGCTGAAGCTTCAAAGGACTCGGTCGAGAAGGCAAAGGATGCCCTCAAACGCGATGGACTCCGAGCAACCGCCTCAACCGATCGTGATCGATCCATTGAGGAAGCTGCTCGCATCAAATCTGAGAAATTTCCGCATCAACAGAATGCTATGAAATTATTCAATTCAGAGAGTTCTATTCATTTCCCTAACTTCAAAGATCGCTACATAGCAATCAATGTCATCAAAGCAGAGATTGAGGCCGCTGTTTTTGAAGGTTTGAATGATCAAGACCGCTGGGAATGGTTACAAGAAGAAGTGTTGGAAAAGAAGAAAAAACAGGCAAATGAGATGTAACATAGTCTTATCATTTCATCAATCAAACAAACTAAAAAGAATCACATTATTAACAAAAGATAGTCATGATATGTTTATTAGCTGATAATAATATGTAGTTAATCATTGACTAATTTTCTTTCACCAGTATATTTTAAAATCACACCACACACCCAATCCACCCGGCTTTGAAAGAAATACAAAAGTCTTTATGACATTTAAATTCTTCTTATAAAACTAATTTTCATTGATCATGATAAGATAAGATGAATTCAATGATGATTTCGGTGGGCTCGATAATGAGCCCACATTCTCTCTGCAATGTTGTCTCGCTGAGCGTTTGCAGCAGCTCGGTCGCGTCTTCTGGGAGGTACAAAGTCCTCTTGGGCTTGTTGAACCCAAGCACGATCTCGATCTTGTTGTTCTCGATCAAACTCATCGAAAAATTGGTCTTCACCACCTCGCATGATGAGGTTGTGAAGGACTGCGAGGGCGAGAACCAGAGATCCTTGTCGATGAATCGGAAAACATCGCATCAACATGAGTATGACAAATCTAATTTTGAATACACCAAATATTCGTTCGATGATCATTCGGAGTTGAGAGTGGCGGTAATTGAACAGCTCCTGATAGTTTTGTGGTGCAGTCCGGCCACGAGCCCACTCTTGGATGTGATAACGGAAGCCACGGTATGGTGCTAAGATGCCATTACCGTTTGCATACGCTGCATCACCTAGATAGAAGCGTCCTGGAAGAAAAAAAGGACCAAAGTGAGGTGAGAAGAAAAGTATGAAAATGAAACTATGAAATGAGAAAAAAACATACCTTCAGGAATGACAAAGTCACCCTCATGCCTAGCAGCGTATAGTACATTGGGATCGGATGTACTTCCTTCAAAACCAGCAAGTATGAATGAAAAGGTGAGATCAAAGGAGCATGCTGCCAGAACATTCTGGGTGAGCAACACCTTTCGATTTCGATACGGAGTCTGATCGGCGACCGCCGCTCTCACCGGGATATGAGTGCCGTCAAGAGCACCAATACACCCATCGAAGAACGGTGAGTATCGGTTGTTTTCAGCGATGCGGTCAGGGATAGGGTATTCAGGCCCCGGTTGAGTGATGATTTTGTCTTTCAAGCTCTCAAGAACGTCAAGAACTTTGTTGTAGTATCTGGAAATGGTTTCGCCAGAATGTGGCCATCGTTCAGCTGCAGTGAGGTTGGTAGACGCATTTCCAACTATATATAAAAATATCATAAATTGTTCATTGGCTGATACATGAATTGTATCGTCAAGATGTGGCTGTAGAATCTTCATGATTGACTTGAAGGTGGCTTTGTCCATGCGCAAAACTTGTCGGAAGCGTCCTGGATGTCCTTCAAGCAGTTCTCTTTCGTAGAGAAAACCCCGAAGAGCCGAGGTGTGATAAGGTTGTTTTGGAAGCCCTCGTCGATAAGCAAGATTACGAGCGTGCTCGAGAAGAAGGTTGAGGACAAGGTCATCGTCATCTTCGTCGGATGAAGGCCAGGGTGATCTTAGATCGATACTTGAATCAGAGTCAGAGTCCGTATTGGACATCTTGGAAAAGGTAGATGTGATGGATGTGAAGGTGAGATGAGGTAATTTCGGAGGTTGTTTGGGTTTGCTACCAAACGTGATCTTGGAAAAAGGGATCCAGATTGAGATTTTTCGACAAAATCTCAATCGCCCCGGGGCGAAGTCACGGACCCCAAATTGAGGTTACCCGTTGCAATCGCAACCAAACGTGCCCTGATGCAGTCGTAGGGACCGCAAGTCTAAAACAGGTCCATAGTGGACCTGTCTAGATTTTAGCACTAAACTTACGATAAATCACCGAGTTACCGCACCCATAGTGGGTGCTCTTACTGCGACACGAGTTACATTCATAGTTCCGGTACCGGTCCTGGATCATCGACATTTTGGCGTCAAGACCCGTGAATCGCGTGAAGAGCTTTAACCCGTGACTTGCCAAACTACAAAGTTGACCCAATTTAACTTCATCTTTCATCTCATCACAACTTCTCTCAAACCCACCATCGGTTCTGTCATCTTTACGCGTTTTGCTACCCCCTTCAACTTTAACACCTACTCATACTTTGATCGCTACTTCTTCAAGAAAGATGATTCATCAGGTTTGAAATATTACCATTTTATCATATCATTTTCATAAGCATTCTGAATTCATATTGACCTTTGAGATATCTTCTATTTGACTTGATAGCTTACTGAAGGGGCCGTGCTCAAGCTTCATGAAGAACAAAAAGAAGATATACCCGATCTAGTTCTCCAAGTCCTTTCTCTCAAACCAGTCGGAGTTCCCAATGCTAGAGCTGTTACTGCCGGACCTCAACGATGGAGGTCAGTATCTCTCTTTCTCTTTTTATCTTCCCACCAGCAACACGTGATACTGATCACGTTTGTTTTTCATCTTTCTTGTTACACAGACTCATGATTTCAGATGGAGTTCATTTTATTACTGCTATGCTTTCAACCCAACTTAATCATTTGATAGATGAAGGAATGTTGCAAAGGATGTGTATTGTCAAACTACCCAGTTATACCATCAATATGGTAGGAGAACGTCGAGTGGTGGTCTTATTGACTGTAGAGGTGATCGATAGTACTTGTACCGAAAAGATTGGTAATCCTACAGCATGTGATGCACCAGAGGGTGGAGCGGCTCGTCCTGTAGTCGCTAAACCTGAACCTACAAATGAAGATACTAAACCGACGATAACGCCTTCTAAACCTATGGTGTCAAACTCTAATGCTAAACCATCGATCAATGCTTCTAATCGTCAGGGCGGACCTTCTGTGATCCCAATCATGGGTCTAAGTCCTTATTCCAACAAGTGAGAGCATCTTTCTCGATACCTCCATCTTATTTTCAAAAGGTCTTGTGATAATTCTGACATTTTTTTTTCCTAACAGATGGAGAATCAAAGCAAGAGTTGTGCAAAAATCTGATATCAAACACTGGCATAATGCACGTGGTGAAGGAAAACTTTTCTCCGTTACTTTTTCAGATGAATCAGGTCAAATCAAAGCTACTGGATTTAATGATACGGTTGATCAATTATACGAACGATTAGTCGTCGGTGACGTTTTTTTCGTTTCACGTGCCAAGGTTTCATTGGCCAAGAAACAGTTTAATACTTTACCACATGATTATGAAATCATGTTTGAGAATCAAACTGAAGTTGATGAAGTGAGTCATCAATCCCTCCAACTCTTCATTGATTCGATTTTACTAATCCTGGTTTTGTAATTCCTTTTGTTCTAATAGTGTGTGGATGCAGGCGATATTCCTTTAATTCAGTTGAACAAGTATATGCAACTTGGCCAATTAGGCGAAGTTGAGAAAGACCATGTCTGTGATATTGTAGCAGTGCTTAAAGATGCTGGTGAATTAGGACAGATTGTGACCAAACAAACCCAACGAGAAGTACGCGAAAACTTACGATAGCTGTCTATCTATCAATCTTGATCTGACACGATCTCATTGTTTACAGATGTCAAAACGTGATATTACATTGGTTGATCAATCTGCATTTTCAATTCGAATGACTCTATGGGGAAAACAAGCGGAAGATTTCAATGCACCTGTCGAATCGATCTTAGCATTCCAAGGAGTAAGAGTAGGAGATTTCCAAGGTCGAAACCTAAGCATGGTTTCATCTTCGATCATGGCCATCAACCCCGAAATTCCCGAAGCCTTTGATTTACGAGGATGGTATGATACCGAAGGAGCGACTGTTGCGATCCAAAGTCATTCAGGAGCAGGAAGTGTAGGAATGAATAACCAAGCACCTATCACCGAAGATAGTTTGAAAACCATTGTTCAAGTTAAACAAGAAGAATTAGGTCAAAGTGAAAAAGGAGATTATTTCAATTTAAGAGCTACTGTGTTGTTTATCAAGAATGAAACGTTTTCTTATCCTGCTTGTCCTACTGAAAGATGTAATAAGAAAATGGTACAAGATGGCGATGATGAATGGAAATGTGAGAAATGTGATAAAACTTATCCTGCACCTGATCATCGGTAAGTTTTTAAGAATTTTCATTTATACGATGATGATGATTGAAAAAAAAATGATCTGATGGCCTTCTTTATGATGAAAAATAGATACCTGATCCAATTAACAGCAAGTGATTATTCAGGAGTGATGTATTTATCAGGATTTAATGAAGTAGGACAAATCCTGTTGGGTAAAACGGCCAATGAATTAATTCAATTACAACAAGAAGATGAAGAGAATTTTAAAAGAGCGATCTTGGATGCTACTTATCGTACTTGGGATTTCGTTTGTAGAGCCAAACGAGAAGTTTATCAAGATACGCCTAGAACTAAGTATTCGATTATTAGATTGGGTGAAGTGAATTGGAAAGAAGCTGGATTGGGTTTAGCTGATCTTATCACGAAGAATTATGGGGCTTAAGATTTAGGAAACTTGAGAAAAAGAAAAAAAAATGAATTTATATATTGATTTTGATTTTTGATTTTGTTTTGGTTTCATGCTTGGATTTGGTTTCTTATTATATATAATCCTTTCTTTTATTATCATAAAATCAAAACTTGTACTTTTTGTTTTGTTTTGAAGTTTGAATTAAGGGGTATTACAATTACTAGCACTTTGAGATCTATATATACACGAAAATCGAAATTAAATAGTTTTCTGTAAAGCTTTTTGGGCAATCAAAGACTTGCAATATGATGAGTCTGTATGAAATTGGTTTGTTTTGAATCGGAATTCATGTGCCCAATGGCGTGACGTGTATACATGAGGTTTTCTTTCCTTTTCTTTATTGGATCAAAGTCAAGTATTTTAAGTTGATTAATGGTTTTTAGGTCTCAATTCAGATAACATGTTGAATGGCTTTTGAGTACATTTCACTCTGATTACTTAATGAACTTGATGACTTGTATTCTGGTTATCAAGTTTGGGTTGTTGTACCACGTGACACGCATACAACCTGCAAGGAATTTCAACTTGATTTGATAATGTGAAAATAGTCAGAAATAGTCACTTGCAGTCCAGCTCCCAAACGCACAACCACGTTGGTAAAGACATCACGGAGCGTTATTGTTGATTTTGTCATTTTTCTAATCTTTCTTCCTTCAAAGATACACCAACTTAGCCAAACAAAATTCTTTTTCTGCTCATGAAATATGAATGAAAAAAACAAGATAAAACGAAACAAGACCATATTAAAATGGTACATAAATATTCAACATAAATACAAACTATATACAATTGCTAGGTATCATCAGAAATATTAAAACTTGAGCGTTCCATTCATCAGTACAAAAATCCTTTCATCATTTCAAATTGATCTTCATCGATTTATTGAGTCCATTTCTTCTTAATACAATCAGTTTTCTAACTTTTCAGGGTACTGATAGCCTCAAGATGATTTGAAGAGTAATGAAACAAGGATTGTTTGAGGAGGAAGAATTAAAGGAAAGGATCATTTATCAGTAATCAAATTGATCAGAACGGTAAATGAAATCAATTTGATTTGACTTACAATCATAAGGTTGAACTCCACTATCAGGATGATTATGAAGCGCATTTTGATTCTTAAGATCCAATCTATTTTGCAGTACAATAGGTTTAACTTTTTTCATTCTCCAATAAATATAAATTGCAGCAATGATAGTGATTAGAAAAGATAAAATCAAAACTGAATATTCGACTAATTTTTCAGATGTAGATTTTGATTTTTTTCCCACTTCAAATAATGTACCTAAATAAACATGTGATAATTGTTTGGGCATCGATAAGATTGTGGCAGCTGAAAAGATCCAAACGTTCATGCCACTTGTGGCTAAGACTGGGGTTAATAGATGACTGGGAATAGCTGAAAGTCTGGCTAAGAGTGCAATCTATTAAACCAAAAAAAAACATCAGAAGAAGAAAAAAAAAACAATTTTGTTTATCTAGTAAAATGAAACAGAAGTAGTAAATTCAAGAGACTTACCCAAAATCCACCTTCTCTAATTACTAAACTTAGAGTAGCAAAACTCATATTCTTTTCTTCATACCTTTCAGCTCTTGATTTACAAGCATATTTAAAAACGAAAAAATTTGCTAATTCTCCTAAATAAGTACCGATTGAAACTATACCGAATCCGATCCAAAGTCCCCAAACCAAACCACAAAGTAAAACTATAATCTAAAAGATCAAAGAAATCGAGTCATATCGGTTTTAGAACTTGATTGATTTTGTTGATAAGAAGAATTTTGATTGAAAGAGATTTTTTTCTTGTTGAGAGTTTACTTACTTCGTGTCCAAGTAAAGGTGGAAAAGAAATAATAATCAAAATCAAAATAGGTATAACCCAACCAATCTTAAAGTTTCCTACTTTTAATTCTCTTAAATCTTCTGCAAAAGGTTTTAATGCTTTAATGATTTGAGCATGATAAACTTTTTAATCCGAAAAAAAAAATCATATGATTTTGGTTAGTTAGTTTGGAAAATTGTTTAGGGGTTAATCTTGTGTTGTGTTGAATTGATTTACTTGTGATGAGTGCGATTATTCCTACGATTAAGATCGTTATGATATACCATTTGATTTGATTCCGACGTAAAAATCTGTAAAGAGTTTTTTTAAAGGAAATGATTCAAAGATCATCAGTTTTGATAGAAAAGATTCAAAAAAATATGTATGTACTGAAAAAAAAATCTATCAAAGATTTATAAATGTTAAAAGAATTGCTCAACTTGATTCTAAATTTCTTAAATCCTTTCAAAGATTCGATTTCTTGCATTTCACTTTGTTCTTTGAAACCGATTTCATCATTCGTCGTTCTTGCAGATGGAAAGTTAACTAACTCAGGCATGGTATGTTGTTGAGGAGGATAACAATCAGATGAAGTGATCGGCTGATCATTTCCATACGGAAGATACCGTGGATCAGACGTTAAAGGTGGCATACTCTTTCGTAAAAGTGAAAGTAAAGTAAAAGTAAATAAGCTTGAATCTTTCAAAGTTTCTAGCTTAGAAATCTTTAAGAAGAAGGTGTTCACTGATACTGAAAGGTTCGATAGGTGGTTGAAGAGGTGATGGTTGGGAAGTTGATAGGTTAGTCTTATATACAAAACCTGATCCCAAATCAACGTAACCAAGTGTATCCAGTAAACTTGGAGTCAGATAGAGCAAATCGGTTTTGTCAATGGATTGAAAATGCAACTTTAAGATCTTTAAAAACTGACCGACCGAGCTTTGGTCAATGAAACTCAATCAATTTCGGACAAATGAGCACCGAGGACTCAGAGGAATTTGTTTAGATTTTTATTAACGTCAACTGTAGCAGAGATATTCACATGAAGCTGAAAAGTTTGTGACACCTTTCGAAGATCTGAGTGATAGCTTATAGGCTTAGCCCACCGTAGTTGGCTGTCGGAGAAATGGACACCGAGGTTCTTTCACAAAATCAAATTAAGCTTCACCATATAGTCTTCGCTACCAAAAAAAATGACTATGGTGTTTTTTTTAGCAGCAAGGTGTTTCAAATATTGATGAGTTTCAATTTTACCCAAGCAATTTGTTAAGAAAACTTATCTTGGCGTAAGAACACAAGAAATATGATACGATTCTTTTGCTTAAACGCTTTTCTCACTTTCAAACCTCCTTGAACTTGAAGTAAGATATAGTACAAAGACTGATCTCAACCAAAGTCATATATGTAAAGATAAATCATTAATTTTCAAAGTAGCCAAGATGGTTAATCTTTACAAATTGGTATCAATTGTTTTTTTAAAAATTCCTTGCACTGCCACACACCTATAGGTATACAGTTTGAGTTTCAATAATCGGAGTGGCACTAAACTCAATGTTTTACTTCTACGCAGATCAATCATATATATGCAGAACTTAGGTAGGATTTCTTTGTTTGGTCAAGTTGGTATCGTGTCAGAAAAAGAGTAAGGATTTTTGTAAATACGTGAGCAAAGTCTCAGCTAAGAGGTATAAATGCAAGCTTTTATCAAACTCATGATACATTATAAGTGTATAAATCTTTGAGACTTTAGACTTCCAATTGTGAGTGTTTTTGATCGGTTGAAATTTTTTGGGTTCTTCAAATATGATTCTGATGTAGATTATGGGGTTTGATAGGGCGATTGATTTGGTACATATGTTTGATGATAAATCCTCTTTGGAAGAAGAAACCATCGAGATTGAATGAATTGTTTAACAGACGAATGTTGATGAATTTGATTATGATGGATAGAAATCAAATCTGAATTCAAACCTCAAAGATAAAAAAATCAAGTATTATACAAAGATAAAAGTGTTCAAACATGAAGAAAAGTAGAAATCATTCAAAGAAAAAACCCAGCATAGATATATACATGATCAAACCTATCTCTACATGAATTTTAAGAAAAGTTAACAAATCCAATAAAGAAAAAACGGGAAAAAGAAGATAATACAATGAATCTTGGGGTTTGATTATTATCATTACATTGGTTGAGAAGGTGGAGGACCAGGTTGCCTGAAAAAAAAGTCATCAAACCAAATAAGTTTAAAATCATTTATCCAATCAAATCATCAAGAATTTACATGTTTGGTGCATAACCTGGTTGAGCAAAGACTGGAGGAGCAAAACCAGCTATCATGGGTTGAAATGAATTTAATTCGGCTTGCCAATCTACCAAAAGAAAAAAAAAAGAAAAAGAAAAATTAGATGAGTAAGATGTGAAATCGAAAGTGAAAATGAAGAAAAGGATAACTTACTACATATACTACAATGCCAAATATCTTTACTTTTTAATGGAATCAATGGTACACAACAAATCTAAAGAAACGAAAAATCAAATCAGATTCCAAACCAACTTCAAAAGCAAAGAAAATATGAAGAAAAGAAAGGACTAACTTCTATCCACATTCTACTATCGGCTTGAAACACACTGGCGTTATGACACCTAGGACATATCCTAGGTTGACCGTCACCACCTCCTTGATTGATTTTAGTTGGACATCCGATTCTACATGAAAGAAACCCGAAACGAAACTCGAATGTAAGTTAAAGATTTGGGTTGAACAGTGATGCTTGGTTTTGACTTACGAAATACAGATACATATATCATCACACATCTTATGGTAAGAAAAGGTTTGAAGTTTTTTGGAAAGTTATGAATGTTTGATTGGTTGGTTGAAGGATTGTAGAAAATTGTAAAAGCCTATGATCCGTTGAGATACATCAATTAAAAAGCGAAGAGAAGTCCGATGTAGGAGATTAAAAGAACTGGAGATGAGAAGGATCAAGCGTGGCGACTCGCGAGGATCGTGCAAAGAACATTCAAAAGGTTTTGTTGATCTGGATCGTCACATTCAATTTCATCCAGCCTGGCAAGAGTGACAAGAGGCGGTGCAAAGTTTAATTTCCAACCGTTGCTGCATACAGTCAAAGTCAGTTTCGTGAGTGAGATTTCACAGTTTCGTGAATTGAATGACACTTCAATGGACAGGTAGGTCAATTGTTACTATGATGTCATCATCATTCATGCTCACGAGTCACCAAGCTGAAAATCAAAGAGATTATTCACAATCAATTCAGAAAGGCTTCTTACCACTTCCCTTGACTAATTTGCTTGATTCTGGGGAACAAAATTGGGTCAAGGTTTTGTGGGTTTATGAGGTCTCTTCTGATTTGTTTATCCAAGAACTTGGAAAGTGGAACATACGAGTTTTTAAGATATATGATCAAGAATGGTCAAGTTTTGAAGTTTACAAAAGGTTTGTAAAGATCAATTGATAAGTTGATCAACAGATAACCAATGGTAAACTCGATTCAAGTGCAATCTATAGCATGACAAGAAGTGAAAATCGTTCAAAGACTTTTAATCAGTTCACAAATCCAAAAAGTCTCAGTTTTGAGGACTGAAACTTTAAATGAGATCAAACTGAATAAAGTTAAAATGAAAACAAAGTTCATTTCCAAATATAAAGAAACCAAAATCATCTAGAACCAACTCTTACCAAAAAAAAAACAAATCCGTCCATAAACCTTCATTCGTCTTTTCCTGATTCTTTTGCAAGGACATCATCTAGTACTATCTTCCCGAAGATGACCGAACCAGAAAAGTTGAGCAGTTTTCTTTCATTGTTCGATTCACATTTTGCAAAAGAGTTAAAACGTATGTTTGAATTGGAACCGAAAGAAAAACGAGTTTAGAAACCTCTGGTTCGACGGGTTTAAGTGATTCGAATTCAGAAGAAATTCAAGGTGATGAGTATCCTACACAACACCATGCTGGAAAAGTAGGCTTAGGACCACAATGTAAAACTATCCTTTCTGTGGTTCTCAATCGATTTCATCCTCAAAAAACTAAAAAGAAATTGACTTTTGTTGGAAAAACGATATGGTTTTTTTGTGTAGATCATAAAGGAGAAAGTATGATAGATAAAGTTAAAGGTCTTACACATAAACTGGTTGGAAAAGGTAAAGATGATGAACATGAACTTCGTAGTGATCAAGACCAAGGGTTTGGTGAATTAGGATTAGGAAACACAGGATCACAAAAAGATGGGATTCAAGAAGTTTGTTTTTTCCTTCTTAAACTTTGTGAAAAAAAGATTAATTGATTCGAGTTGAATTTTTCCGTTTTTTTGGGGGCTAGGAGATGGGGTCTGAAGGTGTTGATCATCGTCATAAGCTTGAGTGAAGATAAAATTGGGATTCTTATTGGACTTTTTATCATTGATGATAGTTTTGGAGAATTGATTTTGACGGTTTGGTCGACCAAAAGAAGTGATCTCATGGAAGTTGAACTGATCAAATTAGTTGGTCTTCAAGACTTTGAACACATTTCGATTGGTTTGATCTTTTCTTATGTAACTGCAATCTCAACAATCAAAGTGGGTTTATTCTTTCATGGTTATCAAGATTGGTTTTGGATTTATGGTGAATGTGTTGTAGAAACCCAATCATCTGATAAAAGCGTTTTACCAATCGTCAACAACATGGTATGATGGCTCAAACTCATCATGGTACTTTCTCAGAGTAGATGTAAAAAGGGTCTTTTAACAAGAAACATGATTTTTGGAAGACCGGTTTGATGAAATCTTATTAAGGAAATTATACTTGAGAAGGAATATTAGATTTCTGAACTGGATTTGATCATTCGTCTTATATTTGATTGTAAGAGTCTGAAGGTTTAGCTTTTTATAGGAACATGTTTAGAATATTTTTGATTGAAACTTAAAATGATGAGAGATAGAATTTGGTAATTTACCATTTTTAGTTGAGTAGAGTGTAACAACGAAGAAGACCTTTATCGATTTGATTTGATTTGATTTGAATTTTAGTGATCCATGAAATGGCAAGTTGTTTCATCAGTTTACCCTCCTTTCAACCGATCTCATCCAGACACAGCACACAGCACACACAGCAAAACTACATTATCAAACAAAGAAGAATCGAGTTTTTAAACTAGAAAACTTAAAATTAATCTAATCCAATCTAATCTAAAATCGATTTATTCAAATTTAACCAACTCTTACTTACCAACTCAAGCCTTCTTATCAATCATCATCACCATCTTATCAACTTCAACTTCATATCTGTTCGAACTCATCTATCATTCTATTCATTCTTATCACTTATCATATATCATTCTCATTCTCAAACTCATTCAACTAAATCAAATCAAATCAAACTCATCATCAAACTCATAACCAAACTCATCATCAAACTCATCACCAAACTCATAATAATCAAATCAAACCCGACTACAAAAACAATGAGTTGGCAACCACTAGACCATCCAACCAATCACAATACCTCAACCTACCCAACCCATCCCACATACCCATCCCACCCATCAAACCATACCAACGGTCATGGTACCTTTACCACACCACATCAACATCCATCATCATATCCACCATCATCAACTCAAACTGTTTCAGAACTGGCTAATTCGTTTTCTTCTGATAACTTGAATCATCCTTCGAAGCTTTCGAAAAATAAAAGACCTAGATCTTTTAGGGATAAACAGTGGGATTCGGCTTTTGGTCCTTTGAGTCTCAAGTTGAGCTTTTTTTGTTTATTTGGATAGGGTTTTCTGCTTTTGGATAGGGGTTCTGATCTTTTGCGTTTTGTAGTACTTTTTTGAGGAAAGATTGGATCAAGTATTATGTTATACTTCTTTTACTTATTATAGCAGTAGCGATCGTAACAAGTAAGTCAATAATCAACTATCAATTCATTGAACTCATATTGATCGTTTTCTGTGTTTTTTTTTTTTGATTTAGTTTTTCATCATCAAATTATTGTTTCACTTAAACCTTTTGCAGATGATTTACATGATTTGAAAGTCGGGAATGTAGAGATCGGTTGGATAATTCCGATTATCATTTTATTTATTATATCTTTTCCTCCTTTGTTTGGTCATGAAGTAAGTTCTCTCCTCCCCCAAACAACACAATTTCCAAAAAAGACAAATTCCAAGAAAAGACAGTTTACTGATGATTTTGTGTGTTTGGGTTAAAGATTGTGATTATTATTTGTGGTTTAGTTTGGGGACTTTGGATTGGATTTGCCATCGTTTCGGTAGGTACGTTTATTGGAGAAGTAGCTAATTATTGGACATTTAAGTATGCTTGTACTAAACGTGCTGAGAAGTTGGAAAGAAAAGATTTGAATTATGCTTGTATGTGTATTGTGATTAGAGATGGAGGGTTTTGGGTAACTTGATGACATTTATCCCCTATTTTTTTTTAAGTTTTAAGTTTTGATACTAATTTTAAGTTTTTTTTTTTTTTTTTTAGATTGCATTTCTTGCAAGACTTTCAGCTATTCCTTCACATTTAATCACACCTGTCTTTGCTACTACAGGCATGAGTTTATGGATCTTTTCAACTGCTACCTTACTTTCGATGCCTAAACAATTAGCCGGAGTTTATTTAGGCACCTTATTTAATTTAGAATCTAATACGAAATCGACTTCATCTAAAATTATTGAATATTTAGTTTTGATTGTTTCTTTTTTGGTCACTGTGGTGGCTGCGATGTTTATTTATAAGAGAATGTCAAAGGCTAGACCGTTGGTTCAGGCTAGATGGGAATCTGAAAGGATTGGTTCTAGGACGGGATTGGATCATCAGAGTGACGGTCAGGTTCATCATGTGGATCCTTATTATGGTAACGGATTGATTTCTTCGTTAGCTACATCACTTCCTTGCCCCCCACAAAAAAAACACGCTTGATTGGTTCTTAAATCGGTTGAATTCAAGTGGTTTTTACTTTCCCGAATGAATTATGAATCTGATGAATCTGTTTTTCTTTTTGGTTTTTTTTTTCTTTTTGGTTGAATAGTGAATGGGAGCCTATCAGAGATCGATCTATCGAGGAAAATCTCAGAATGGGAAGGACATCAGAAGATGATTGGTCAAGTTTAGAACATGGTGTATTTCTTCAATCTAACCATTCTTTTCCTGATGATCGTCATTTGGAAGTCGATCAAGAATTGATTCATCATACACCACTCTTGCCGGTTTTTATTAGAAAAGATTTAAGGGATCGGGATGGGTTGAGTCCTACTTATGCTTCTAGATCAGGTTGAATAAATGATTAGGAGATCTTTGGTTTTTTTTTTGGTTTTTTTTGAGAAGAATTTGTATGATTTATGATTTTTTTCGTTTTGGGTTTGTGGGTCCTTTTTTTTATGCTTGGGATGGAATTTTTTTTTTTTTTGGGAAAAATATCGAAAGGATTGGGTTCTTTTGGGAAGTTCATTTTTTTGAAGATGATAATTTGGAATTTTGGATGATTTGGTCTTTGCATTTTTGGGATTTATATCTTATTTTTTAGGATGTAAGAAGAGGAAAGGAAAGGAAAATCTAAATGGAAACTGTTTTTTTTTTGCATTTTGCATTTTTCTTTGTGATGGTTGATGAATTTTTTCAATTTTTTTAATTTTTAAATTTCCAAGAAGGGGTTTTTTTGTTGTTAAATTTTTTTTTGATAAATTGATGATGATGCAAGAAAAAAAAACTAATTTTGTTGTAATTTTTTTTGATTGTTTTTCTACATATGACATACATGCATACATCTTTTATCGATTTTTTATTTTCATTTATTTGGTATATGTATACCTTTTTTTGATTTTTGGAATTTTTGTTGATTTTTGATTTTTTCAAAACGGATGGTTTATTTTTCATGAATGAAAGAGATGATATAGGATTCTTGATGCAATTGTAAGGAGAACTTCTGCTTGGAAGTTGGGTATTGGAAACCATGAGATTTTAAAGATTGAACTCATCATGAAGAGGTCTGGATGTGAAGCTTAAATGAACAGTCTCTTGGCTGATAAGTATCACACTGGAAATCTTATTGGTTAGTATGATATGATTAAGTAAATTGGGATTGGATGAGATGAGATGAGAAGTACAGAACAAGTTTAGGGAACAGATGAATTGATTAAATTGAATTTATAAAAAAAGTAAAAAAAATTGTTGATTTTTTTTTCCAAAGGATGATTTCTTTGTATTAATGAAAAAAAGAGAATGGAACAAGGATTCTTGATGGTAGTGATGGAACTTTTTGGGCTTGGAACTTGTCTACTAGCAAAAAATGGTATTTTGATGATTGGAATCATATAGAGGTCTGGATAGATTAAATGAGCAGTTTTGGTTTGATAAGATCATTGGAAGTCTTTATTGGTCAGTATGATATGAGATGATTGAATGAATTGAGATTGGATGAGATGGGAAGTACAGAACAAGTTTAGGGAACACATGAATTGATTAAATTGAATTTATAAAAGTAGAAATACTTGGAATTGTGACTCTCTTTGACCGTCTTTGAAAAGATTAGCTAAATAAAAGTCATGATTGAAGTACTGCAAGGGGTTGTTTAATTACTTATGGAAGTTGGAAGTGAGCTTGTTCAGCTTGAATTTGCCTAGTTGAGGTTCAGGATATGAGATGAGATCTTAAGATTAAGGTTATGTTGAAGGAGGTTTTTCTAACTTCTGAGATGTCATTGGGAAAGTGGGAATTGGTTGGTATGGTTTGGTGCAGTTCCAAAGAAGTGGAGTAGGAAGATGAACTGCTGAAAAGGATATAATCAACTACAATCAACTTAACAAACACAATTGATTCTTGATTTGGAAAACCTTTTAAAGTACAATAAGAAAGATGTGTTTTACAGTTTGATGGACTTGTTTGTGTTAAGTTTTGGATATTAGGGGGTTTCAAGTTAAGTTTTTTTACAGTTATTTTACAGGACAGTCCTCTCCAAGTGATTTACGTAATCATTCAAGTTCTGTAGAGGTAGGGACAAGGTTTGTCCTGAACCCAATGATTACAATTCATAGGTGTGGGGATGTGTACAACAACTTGTTTGAGACTGTAAAATTTCCCGTAAACATAAAAAATCATATACTTGCTGAAAAAAGAACACTTATGGTGTTCAAACTTCAAGATTAATTTGTGCAAGTCCTGTGCAAGATATGAATAGAACTTGCATGGATCTTGCATGGACCTTGCATGTTGGTCTCACACAGTTTTTGCACCAGTTGGAACACAATAACTGGGGTTGTCAAAACAATTGATGTGCAAGATCTGTGCAAGATATCTTGCACATATCTTGAATGTTGGTCTTGCACAGTTCTTGCATGTGTTTGAAGACCATTTCAGAAACTTGTCTGTTTTGTAAAGATTTTATGGAAAAAATTCATAATTTGAAACCCCCTATTGCTGCAATTACAGTACTCAAAGTTGTGTATAGTTTTGCGTGTATGATTTTTTTGGTGGGGAAAAAGAGGCCAAATTTTTTTTCCCTGCCAAAAAAAAACTATACACAACTTTGAGTACTGTAAATCCAAGCTTATGGGTTCTGCCAAAGTAGGCTAAAATAGTGCCTATTAGTGCACCTCTGGCTAATAGACTCCTGGGATATCATCCGGAGGAAAATGAGACGTATTGGCCGGACTCTATCCGTATCTCACTGCCAGACGCACACACGCGTGCGTCGTGTCATTTCGCGTCTGATGTCTATATCCATCCACGCAGAGTCCAACATCCAGACGTGTCCTGGCCTCAGACGTGTCTATGAGGCTAGCCAGACCTGTCTGGCCTCCGAACCCAGTGGTCTTCCCTACAAACACTCGCTCTGTCCAGACACATGACACATCATACGCCGTCCATCCCAACTCCCACCCACCTATCGATAGACCTAACTCCCTATCAGGACGTGTTGGTCTATCAATAGAGCAAGCCACACCAACCAATTAATACCAAGCCAGATCAATCCGATCAAACGGATCAACCTCACCACACCTCCATCTCTATCTGCACCACCCTACCAACATTTGAATGAACGCTATTGTAGGTCATCTCAACTCGTTTTTTGTATGTATCCCCGATAAATGCCTCAATATGTTATCTCTTCCTATCTTTCATGAGCAAATAGAAACAGACAAAGTCGCGATTTAAAATTGCTATTTACATTACACGTATTAAACCGTCTCCTCAAGACCTTTCCACGTTGAATAGGACAAACTATTGAAAGAGAGACAGAGAGACCCATGAGATGAACCACGGATGTGATACATCAGTCCAGCAGCCTTTTGCATACGGTCTGATTCTTTGCCAAGTATCACGGTACATACAAGCAGTTGCAACCTGTTGCAACAACACAACTAATATTAAACTCGATAGTGAGCTCGATATGGATAGTTGAATTCAAAATGTACTGTATATAAGCGAGTCGTGTGAAAATTTTGTATAACTCATTTTCGATCTCACAGAGACATTAGTACAACCGAAGGTCCGACACCTTTTTTACTTAGCTTACCACTGGAAGAATATCGTCTGTACACATAATAAAATCAAATTATACTTTGAATCAATTGCTACCAACACCGTTCTTGAAGTTGCGAGTGTCAAGTGACGAGATGAAGTCAAGATTTCAATTGTGTTGTAATTATTGATGTTGACAATTTGAGATAACAAATGGTGTGACAATGAAAAAGTAAGTCATAACAAGAAAGGAATATGAAACGCAGGATATTTTGTAAGAAAAAAGCACCAAAAAAAGATAACCTCAAGTGTTATTTTATCCATGTAAGGTAAATGAATGTATGGTATCACCATAAAAATGATAAATGGATGAAAAAGTAAGCGAGTGATAAAAAAAAATCTGGAACACAAGATCACAATTTTGTATAAAAAACAATAAACCCAATAAATGATCCATTTACTTATCTATCAAAGCTAAATATCTGTATGGTATCACTAAAAATCATCATCATCAGGTAGGTCGTCGTCCTCCAGACCCATACCGAGGTTGGTATTGTCTTCATCCACACCCATACCGATATACATATCATCAACTCTATGATCACAATTGTCGTCTAAGCCAGAGATACCTCCCCATGGCTCTTCGTCGTCTTCAATATCTTGCGGATTTGAGCCACCATCATTCAAATCATTAATATTGTTGCTGCCGTTTGCCACGGCTGAGTCGTTTACTAGTTTGAATAAACCTGCTTTCACGTCGTTCAGCCACAGTGATCTCTTGCTGCTTGGCATCTTGTCAACACCCAAGGCAAGATCTTCAGGCTTCAGGCTGCTTCCATCGAGTTGGACGATATTGACCGGAAAACCTCTAGCTTTAAGACATTCTCCCGGGTTCGGTTTGCGCGGGAAACCTTTTCCTGGAGAATATCCAAGTGCTTCCTCTAGAGAGCGACCTCAGTAATGAAACCGAAACAACTATATTAATGACAAGGGATAAATGACTTACTTAGATCTGCCCGAAGGGCTTTGGTGAGGTTGGTTTATGACATCTGCTGGCTGTTGGCGCTTTTCTTTTTCAGTCGACGACTTTGATGATCCTATAGCATCGGCGACAGCTTCTTCCACTGCTTTGCCCTGAGCACGTGCTGCAAAGATAACCGGAAAATTGCTTTTGGCACGAACATATTCAGCCATCTCCGGGTGTGAGGTGTATTCAATACACCATCCATGGGAACCTTTGCCTTCCTCAGTTTGAGGATGGGTTCCAGATGCAAGAAAATAGTATGCAAAGTCCATGCGTGTGGATTCGCTTTCAATCTATCAGTGCCAAATGAACAATCAGTTGTTTACAAGAGAAATACGATGGAGAAATATAGTGATTCAAATAATGAACATATGATAAAACAACATACCTGAGAATGTATTTGCTGCACACGCTTTTTTGAAAGGCAATTGTGGTCTGCCAATGATTGACCGCCAGGAATACCTGACAATGCCTTGGCATAAGCTTTGGCAACCTTTTGACCACACACCGTTTCGTCATAGACCTCTTGCAGCTCGATGCGTTCTTCGGGTGATAGATTGAGTTGCTTTTGTTCCTTTTTCGAGGGTAAGCCAGATAACATATAAAATACCGAAGGATGAAAAACAAGACGCTCGGCGTCAGGTCGAGCAGTCCATGCCCTACCCATTCGTTGGTTGCGCTCGCCAAGACTTTCTGGTTCGCTGTTTCGAGGCACTGTAGTAATAATAAACATAATAAACATACCCACCATAGACATTTTAAGTAAGTATGTTCATGTAGCTTTCTGGGGAAGGAGTTGACTCACTATATTCCTTATTGGCCATCTTTGAATAGCTCATCCAAAGGCGATAGCCATCCTGACCTTGACCTCGGGATGAACCTAGATCGCCTCTGAAGCGGATTAAGATTGGATCAATCTTAAGAATGTTGTGAAATAGTATGACTATGAATGAAAGAACATACATCGCTTTGTCCAATGTAAACAAGGTGACATTTCCCATCATCGCGAGCATCTCTTTGTGATGATGATACAGCTGTTTGAGCGCTTTAGCCTCCTCTTGGATATTTTGTGGCACAGCTGAGCTAGTCCGCTTGACTGCTGAAATCCTGGTCATCGACCACTCATTACACACCGCCTGATAATTCAAGAGTGTTGGAAGGTTGGTAGCATGTGAGCTTGATGAACTTTGAGGAAGAGGTGCATTCCTGTTGATAGATGAACTGATATCTTGAGTATCGATATCTTGAGAATCAACACCTTGAAGTTGAGCTTGAGATTCGTTTTGAGGCCCTCGGCGAGAACGTT